CTTCGGCCAACAAGTTCACAGTGCATGTGTTAGCGGCCGTGGCCGAAGAAGAGACGCGCAAGATCAGCGAGCGGACCCGCGCCGCCCTCGCCGAAGCCAAGAAGAAGGGAAAGAAACTGGGCTCGGCCCGCCCCGGTCACTGGAAAGGTCGCGAGCATAAGCGGGGCTGGAAGAAAGGTGCCAAGGCATCGGCGAAGGTGCGTGCCCAACGGTGTCGGGACATGTACGGCCTACTGGTTCCGCAGATTCGTGAACTCCAGGAAGGCGGCATGAGCTACGAGGATATCGCCAAGTGGCTCAACGAACGTGATTACGAAACAATCCAAGGTCGGAAGTTCAGTACCGCTACCGTGTGGCGGATTATGAAACGGGCTAAGGATGAGAAGCAGCCCGTTTGAACTGAGGATGTGAGGTGAACGATGGCTGATTTATCAACCAGGGAATTGTTCATTGATTCCATTATCCAGGCCAGCCAGGACGTACCAGGTTCCGCTTGGAGTGAGCGGGACGTACTGAGGTGTCTGGATGATCCGCGGTGGGAAGAGCGAGACCGGTTCTATGACTGGAGAAACTACGTCCACGACGATGTGATCGCTGCATGGGAGGGTCTTGCCCGTGAGACTAAGTTGGCGGTTCTTTTGTGTGCAGTTACCTGCACCAAATTAGAGCGTGATTAGTGTCGAATCGAATCAGTTGCAGCCCTAATCAAAGGCGGAAAACGGATGGCGATCACGAAGTCGGCAAGACCCCGTAAAGCCACACGTCCGAATAAAAAGACCACAACCAGAAAAACCATTCCAAGGAAGGAAGAAGCGATGAAGGTCAAGCGGGAGGATCACCCCTGGGGCGTGGTGCTGAGTATTCAACCGTTCCGCACCCCTCAATTCCAGGCGGCCAAGATCGTGGCTGAAGTTCGCATGGGCTCGGGACCCAACCCGGAAGTCAAGGTATGGTTCAGTGGGGTGCCGGCCACCACCCCGATCACGAAAACGGACGCCCGGGTGTGGATGGAGGCGTACCGCGCGGTGCTTAGCGAAAGTCAACAGGTGTCGGACACCATGAAGAAGGCCAGTAAGACATCCAAGAAGAAATCGACCAAGAAAAAGCCCAGCAAGAAGGGCAAATAACTCAAGCGTCCAGGTAGTAGCGTCCCGGCGACAGGTGGGCGTCCTGACAGAGGACGTTTAAGATCAGGGACAAGTTCACACTACGCCCACCGGTGCGAAACTCTTTTGCCCGCTGGACCCAGACCGGGGTGGGCAGCTTCCCGGTGACATCGTAGACGGCCCGCATCCCGGGCACCATCCCAGTCGCCAGCTTCACGTTCAGGTTGGAGCGGTAGACCGTCTTTACGAACGCCTCCAGGTCAGAGGCGTTGATCTTGAATACCGCCAACGGGGTAACTTTCAGACTCACAGACTCCCTCCCGGGAATTCAAATGAGTTCGGGGCCAGGGCTTCTTGTTCAAAGCGGATGATGTTGAAAATGGCCCCGCTCAGCACGACGGCCGTCCCTGCGATGTGGGGGCGGGCGTCCATGTGCTCGACCGCTTCCCGAATCTCGGGCTGGTTGTACTGTGCCGCGTCTTCAATCGGTCGCAGGACTGAGAACTTCTCTTCGCCGGCCCGCTTGATGTGGATTTGGTATTGCTGCATAGGTTCCTCGATGGGTGATGGTTACTTACGTTCTACGTGAGCGGCCGGTGTTTTCTTCCGTCAACTCTGACGCGGCCGAATAATTTTCTGAATTTCTGATATTTCGGACCTGTTTGGCCCTCTATATCTATAGCCGAGGAAGTTCTGAATGCCCCGAGTCACCAACCCCGCCGATCCCCGACGTTGCCAGCGCGCCTACGCGGCTGGTCAATGTATGAATCAGGCGGAACCGGGGTCCGACTACTGTCACGTACATGGAGGTGCGGTGGAATCCGCCCGCGAATCGCGGCGGCTATACCACCTGGCCGAAGTCCGGCATCAACAGCGGCTGGCCCAACTTACCGAACACGACCAAATCCAATCTCTTGCGGAAGTAATCGCGCTGGCTCGCATGCTGGTCGAGAAGCGCTTCAATCTTATTTCCACCGATGCCGAACTCATTTCGGCGCTCCAACCTCTCAATCAACTTCTGCTCACGGTCGAGCGAATCGTCAAATCAGCACATACCATCGAAGAAAGTCTGAAGGAACTACTCAGCAAATCGGATGCGTATCGGATGGGCCGCCGCATTCTGGAAATCACTGCGGAGGAACTGGGCGAGCTACCCGAACGGGAAATGATTCTGGAAGGGATCAGTTCCGATATGGTGGAGGCCATCACTGCGGCCGGTGATCCAAAAGCCAAGCAGCAACTGGATCAACTCGCCGAGCGGGTCGCCCCTGGGCGCACCGGGTTCTTTCGCATCGAGAATGAAGACGACTGCCAGCGATTGAAGGAACTGACCAGTCATAACCGTTTGAAATCCCTTCAGGAAGACATCGCGTTGACCACGATGCTCATCGAACGCCGATGGAACATCGTCCAGCCCCATGAAGAACTCAGCCTGATCGGCGCGATCCCGCAGATCAACACACTGCTGAGGACCCTGGAAAAGCAAATTGTCACCGCCCACTCCATGGAACAATCCCTGGGTCAGTTACTGACCTCCGCGGACCTGCGATCGTTAGGCGACAAAATCTCTCAGATTCTCGTGGATCGACTCGAAGGCGTATCGGACCGTGAAGCCTTAGTGGACCGCATCATCGAACGCCTGGTGGGTCGCGACTATCAACCTGCGGACATCCCGCAACTCGAAGATCAGTCCGAGTGATCGGACCCTGCCTCTGAGACTCCCTTGTCTGAAATCTTCTGCCGCAAGTGTGGCGGCCCTGTTGTGTTTTCCAACGAGGATCGTTGTGAAACGTGCTGGTCTGAGGACCAGGAACGCTACCACGGAAGGGACCAATCGGTGGACTTGCGTGAAGCGGCGCGGCCGGAACGGGACTTGAAGAAACCATGATGACGAACCTTCGCCCCAGCCAACTCCAAGTTGGCGACATCATTGGTTTTTCAGGCTATCACCTGTCCAGCGCGTTTATCAATCTGGTGACCTACGGAATCCCATTCTGGTCACTGAGCCATGTGGGAATTATCGGAGAGTACGATGGCCAGCTATTGCTCTTCGAGTCCGACGCCGCTGAGTCAGACCCCTGCGTCATTCAAGGAAAGCCGTTCAGCGGTACACAAGCTAAACACCTTGATACCAAACTACGGAACTACTCGGGACGGGCCTGGCACTACCCCTTGTACCGATCGCTCTACGAAGACGAACGGTCGCGACTGAATCACTTCTTGCTGGGCCATATCGGAATCCCTTACGACAAGATCGGCGCGTTCCGCGCCGGCGGGATCGGATGGTCCTGGGTGGAATCGCAGTTGAGACCCGCGGACCTGAGCAGCCTGTTCTGCTCGGAATACTGTGCCGCCGCCCATGCCCATACCGGGTTGTTGAGAACCAGCCATGTCAGTCGCTGGAGCCCCAACTACTTAGTGCGACATGAACGTCGCCGTGGCATGTTAATGAAACCCCGGAGACTTCAATGCGGAAAGTAATTGTACTGACATTGCTCGCGTTATCCGGTTGTCAGCAATCGTTCGAAGGGTCTTACCAATTCCCGCCGACCCCACCGAAGGAATACCCCACGGTCAATATCCCGAGGGGACTCCGGGAATCGAACTGGGCTCCCTACGGCGAAGGTTCCTGCGTTCACGCCTCGTTCGTGATGCTGCTGCGGTGGCAAGGCCGTTACCACACGGCCGACTACTGGCGGAAGAAATATCACAGTGGTGAGTGGCCCTCCCAGTTAGCCCAACGCATGGATCGGGAGGGCATTCGATATGCCTACACCAGCAACAAGAACAACGTTGCGTTCCTGGAGTGGGCCTGTCGCACTAGGAGAGGCTGCGGTGTGACCATCATGGGCGGGGCTCACATGGTCTGCTTGGTTCACCTGGACGATAAGTGGGCCGGCATTCTCGACAACAACGACATCCACAAGATTCATTGGTTTCCGCGAGAAACGTTTCTAGCGGAATGGAAGAATTCAACTAGCTGGGCGGTGACTCCCGTCTACACCCCCATGCCTCCCCTGCCGTAAACAAGCGGCAAGACTCTCAGAATTGTAGAGGACTTTGATGCACCGACTGTTTGTTATCTTGATTGCCGTACTGTGTGCGGCATCCCCAGCCCTGGCGTGCCCCTGTACGGGCGACGACAGCCCCTGTACCTGCGAACCGACTTGCAACTGTCAAACCGAAACGGTCACCGGTGAGAACTACGGCGTACGCAACACTCAAGAGCGGGTGATTCAGTTGCCGCAAGACGACGAGAAGTGCTACATGACCGTGATCGGTTATGCGGACGACCCGGCGGTGAAGCGACTCAAGGCGTGGTTTATCAATAACCCAGACCTGCGAGCCGTCGCCTCCCAGACGCACTACAACGCCATCGATGCCCACAGTGTGACCTACACCCAGCGATATGCGAGCAACGTCCCGAGACTACCTTGTATTCGCTTCCAGGCGGCCGACGGCACAACCATCTACCAAGTCAGCGGCACCGACATTCCGTTTTCGGCCGAGGCGCTGGCCAACGGCGTAAGAACTTCGTGGCGGCGTTGGCGATGTCAGCCCAATCGTGGTTGTGGACCACTACGAAATTGTTGCCCGTTACGTGATCGACACCAAGATGAGACCGCCCCTCCGGATGAAGACCCTGAGCCGGCTCCGCTGGATAACTCGGATGCTCAGCCTGACGTGTTACCACCTCCGGACCCGCGAAGTGACTTCCCTCCGATTGGTTGCTTGCTCGGTTGTATCGGTGTGGGCACGGTGATCGGTGCCGGTGGTGGATTGGTGAAAGGTTATCGCATCGCACACGGCAGCAAAGAATAACGCTGCCCTTCCTTTGATCTCTTCTCCCGCAATTCTCGCGGATCAACCATCCAAGTAAAGGAAATCTCTCCTATGATCTCTGCCTCCAGTGCTGCAATTTGTGTTCTCTCGATCATCGTCGCCATTGGCGCGGCCTTCACGATCGTCAAGTGGCTGTTCAAGAAGGACGAACAGATCGAGGATCGTCGTCGGGCCGCCGCTGAGTTGGCCAACAAGCTCTCCGAAGTCGGCCTGGAGAAGCTACCCAGCTTCCTGGTCAGCTACTCGGTGGGCGACTACTCGCAGATGTACTTCGACTTGAAAGAGGCCGCCAAGTTGGCCACCAGTGACCCGGCCGCCTTCATGCGTCAGTTCGAGAAGGTGTTCGTGAACATCCTCGACGCCAAGTTGAAGACCCCCGAAGGCCGCATCCTCATCGCCGCCAAGTTGCAGGATGCTTCTGATCCCAGCGATTCGAAAGTGGTTCAGTCCGCTCAGAAGGTCGCCACGGTCTAATAAGGTAACCACCCCAGGGATCGCATCCCTGGCCCGACGCTCGGCTACGACTCCCCGGCTTCAATAAGCCGGTCCCGAGCGTTTCTATACGGGTAGTCCCTGCAATGAGGGAATTGGATTTCTCTAATGTCGGTGAAACCCCGACCTACCTGACATTACCGCCCACTGGCCCTCGTAACAAACGAGGGCCAGTTATCAAAGCCCACTCACATCGAGTGGGCTTCGATAACTGCAAGGGAGCGAATTTGTGAAATCGATACTGCCGATCCTACTTGCGTGTGTGCTGTGTGGTTGTGAGGCCCAGTCCACTGTGACTCCTCGGGTTGATCAACCGTCACCCCGCAAACCGGCGACCCTTCAAGTCCTGGTGTTCACCGCAACCTGGTGCGGCCCCTGCCAACGGGACAAACCCGCCGTGGCGAGATTGAACAACCGCGGTGTGTCTGTGACTTCGGTGGACGTGGATCAACGTTCTGATTTGGTCCGCAAGTATCGAATTCAATCCATCCCCACGTACGTGATTCTGGAGAACGGTCGTGAGACGTATCGAACCCAGGACGTGCGTCAATTGCAGAACACGCTGAAACGGAGCCTCCATGCCCCCAAGAAACACCCGCCCAAGTACCCCCGACTGTGACGATTGCCCTAAGCAAAAGCAGACCCAACGTGTGCTGGCCATCAGTATGGACAGCGAGGGTCACCGCTTGTGGAAACATGTACTGCACGGTAGCGGGACCTGTGTGAACATGATCGAAGGGTACGTCGATTTGGCGATGCCCGGCGACCCTTTGCCCTCGTTGCGGTCCCTGCGTGACCGTTTAACCAAAGTAATTGACCGATTGGAGAAATCCAGTGCAACTCAACCTTCCCCAAAGCGCCCGACATTCGATCGTGCGTCTCACGGTGAAGACACCCCAGGGAGTTCGCAACCACACCCTGAAGACCTCGACGAAGACGTTTCAGCTTCCGGAGGTTGAAGGCGTTAATCCTGAACGGGTTGAAGTCACGGCTGTTTTCTGTGGACGCAATGGAAAACCTGACCCCAAGACTGAACCCGTCGTGCTGAAGGCTTCTTGCGAAGAGAGTTGCGACCCCTCGAAGGGTCAGTGCCCTTGCGACGACGAAGCCAAGGCGAAGGCCGAAGCGGAAGCCAAGGCTGCGAAAGAAAAGGCCGAAGCGGAAGCCAAGGCAAAGGCCGAAGCGGAAGCCAAGGCGAAGGCCGAAGCGGAAGCCAAGGCTGCGAAAGAAAAGGCCGAAGCGGAAGCCAAGGCAAAGGCCGAAGCGGAAGCCAAGGCGAAGGCCGAAGCGGAAGCCAAGGCTGCGAAAGAAAAGGCCGAAGCGGAAGCCAAGGCAAAGGCCGACTCCAAGAAGCAGCCTTCCGCAGCGAGCGAAGCCAACGACAAGTGATGACGTAGAGGTCGCACGGGGCGAACGCCCAAATCGAGTTCGGCCGTCAACCCAATTGACCGCCGCCACAGTAAGCGAACCCGTTAGCAAGCGATCTCCAACTGATGTCTGAACTATGTCCGAACCTGCCGGGGTCTTCAATCAGGCGGTGGCCGATGGCCTATCCAACCGCACCCTGACCAGTTGCGTCCGCTGGGCCAACAAACGGCGGGTGATGGGGGAACCGTTTCCCGGCCCTTACTCATGGAGAATGCACCCATGGGTCAAGGAAATGCACGATTCATGGGCACCCTTCAACTACGCCATGAAGGGTGCCCAGCTTGGTGTTACTGAAGTCTGTATCAACCGCGCGTTGTACACGATCGACCGCCTCAAGCGGGACGTGCTGTATGTGCTCCCTACGGGCGGTACGGCCACCGACTTCTCCAAGGCACGCTTCAACGGGGCCTTGGCCCTCAGCCCGTATCTGAAGTCGATTTTCAGTGACATCAACTCAGTGGGACTCAAGCAGGCGGGGGCCAACACGCTCTACATCCGCGGTTCCGGAGGTAAGAGCAACCTGGTGTCCATTCCGGTTTCTGAACTGATCCTCGACGAAGTGGATCGGATGGAACAGGAACAAATCTGGCTGGCCCTGGAACGGCTGTCGGGGAACATTGAGAAACATGTGTGGGGTATCTCCACACCAACGGTCCCTGATCACGGGATTCACAACCTTTACAACGGTTCGACTCAAGAGCACTTTGTCTTTGCCTGCCCCTGTTGTGGTCGGTTGATTGAGCTTCGGTGGCCCGATTCGTTTGAGTTGATCGGCGAGTACGCGACCGATCCACGCTGCAAGCAGTCGTATCTGAAGTGCTACGAATGCGGCGGCAAACTGGAGCATGAGGACAAGCCGAACTTTCTGGCTAAGGCGTACTGGGAATCGTTCGACAAGAACGCCAACCCGGAAGTTCGCGGCTTCTATATCAATCAGCTTTACAGCTACACGGTGAACCCCGGTGAAATCGCCACCGCCTACCTGCGTGGGCAAGGTGATGAACTGGCGGCTAAGGAATTCTTCAATTCGAAGATTGGGATTCCCTGGATCGCGAACGGTGCCAAAGTCACCGACGAGATGCTCGACCTGTCGATTGCGAGCCACTCGAAGGACGACCCGAGGCCGACGTCCTCGGGCCGCATCATCACGATGGGCCTCGACCGTGGGCAATGGAATCATTTCGAAATCACCGAGTGGTTCTTTGATTCGTGGTCGATCGACATCAATGCCGACGCGCACGCTCGCGTGTTGTGCGAGGGAAAGTTTCACGAAGAAGACTTTGACCGCATCGCGGATGAACTGATGCGGCAATGGCAGGTCTTAGCCTGCGTGGTGGATGCCGACCCCGGTCCGATGGACGCTCGCCGCTTTGCGAGACGTTTTCCCGGGTTTGTGTGGCTCTGCCGTTACCGGGGTGGGCAAACCGGTAAGGAAATCTCGATCAGCGAAGAAGAGAACTACGCTCCGATTGCTACGGTGGATCGATCGAGTTGGATCAGCGCGGCACTGGGTCGCTTCAAGACGAACCCCACCCGCATCGAGCTTCCTCACGATGTCTCTGAGGAATATCGAAATCATATGCAGGCGCTGGTCTCCACGTACGTGCGAGACGACGACGGCAACCCCCGTTTGGAATACGTGAAAACGGGGACCCGGGCGGACCACTTCGCCCACGCCCGCACGTATTCCGAGATTGCGTTGCCACTGGTGGCAGCCCAAGAACTGAATGTCTCCCTGGATAAGTTCAAGCGGTGACGCATGGTCAAGTTGCAAACGACTTCCATTATTAACAGTCGTCACCCTTCGTACACCTCGGGGCTCAGCGACTGGCAAAAGTGGCGGTTGACCTACGAGGGTGGGGAACGCTTTCGTAATCGCTACCTGAAACAGTTCAGCGTTCGCGAGGACCAAGATGATTTCTACACCCGTCGTAGTCTGACGCCGATCCCAGGGTTCGCCAAGAGCGCCATCAACAACATCCGCGACAGCATCTTTCAGCGGATGCGGGACATTACCCGCAATGGCGGGAGTGATGCCTATCGCCAGGCAATCAGCGGGCTCTCCGGTGGGGTCGATCGCCGGGGCTCTACGATGAATGCCTTCTTAGGCACCAAGGTGCTGCCTGAGTTGCTGGTCATGGGACGCATGGGTGTCTATGTGGACAACTCGGTGATCCAAGGTGTGACGCTGGCGGATACCGGGCCGGCACAACCTTACATCTACCCCTACGCAATTGATGACATTTTGTCATGGAGTTGCACCGACCCCGAGCATCCTTCGCAATTCAAGTCGATCCTGCTTCGCGACCATTGTTTGCAGTTTGATGGCGTGACTGGATTACCGGTCGAAACGTTCAAACGATTTCGTCTGATGTGGATCGATGACGAAAGCGGCAATGTCATGCTCCAGTTCTATAACGAGAACGGAGTGAAAGTTGATCGGGACGGGAATGAACAACCAGAGCCCTACGAGTTGCGACTGAACCGCATCCCGTTTGTGATGCTCGACCTGGGTGACAGTTTGATTAAGGATGTCTGTGAACATCAGATCGCGCTGTTGAACCTGGAATCGCAAGCCGTCTGGTACGCCCTGCAATCCAACTTCCCCTTCTACGTAGAACAACGGGATTTGAAGGCGGGTAATTCCCACCTCAAGCCATCGGCGAATGCTGACGGGACTGCAACCACCGGTGGCCAAGGTGCCTCCGACAGCGATATCAAGGTTGGTACCACGCATGGGCGCGGGTACGACAAAGGCGTTGATCGGCCCGCATTCATTGCACCACCGGACCACCCCCTGCGAGTCTCAATGGATTTGCAGGATCGCTATGAGGCCCAGATTCGCAAGCTGGTGAACCTGGCTGTGCAAACGCTGGCCTCCCGTGAAAGCGCCGAAAGCAAAGAGATTGACAACCAGGGATTGGAATCGGGGCTGAGTTTCATCGGACTGGTGCTGGAGAACGCGGAACGTCAGATCGCGGATTTCTGGGCCAGCTATGAATCGATCAAACCCGAGCGACGAGAAATCCCCACGATCAAGTATCCCGATCGTTACTCGCTGAAGACCGATTCTGACCGGATCGATGAGGCGGAACGACTCTCGAATCTGATCTTCAAGATTCCTTCCCGCGAGGCCAAGAAGGAAATCGCCAAGCAGATCGTCGAGACGTTGTTGGGTGGTCGAGTGGATTGGAGGCGGATCGATGAGATCACCGCCGAGATTCAAAACTCGGACTACTTGACCAGCGACCCCGACACAATCATCGCCGCCGTGGAGGCGGGGCTGTGCGGCGAGAAGACCGGCTCGATTGCCTTGGGATTCTCGGATGGGGAATACAAGCTCGCCCGACGCGATCACTTGGCACGAGTGATGCGTATCGCTGAAGCTCAAAACACCCGAGGCGAAGATTCCGGTGACCCAGCGGCTCGTGGCGTGGATGACCTATCGGCGGACCCTGCGGGGGCTGCGAATGAAGAACGCGAAGCAGCCACCGAACCCAGTACCAACCCACAACAACGCCGACGACGCACCCGCGGACGCAACCGACGTCAACGTGCCACCGGCTCGGAGGAATAAATGACAACTGTTGTTCGCTCGGCCGCTTCGGAATGGAAGACGGGCCACTTGGCGGTGTCGGATACGGCCGTGAGGCTGCCGTCTTATCAAGCCTATCACAAGGTGAGTGTGCGAAACCTGTCCACCAGCGCCGAGAGCATCTTCGTGGCTACGAACGAAGGCGGTGCGGCGACAGGCTTTGAACTTGCCCCGGGGGATACCCTCGATATCGAGATCGACAACTCAGGCAAGATTTGGGCGATTGCTCCCGACGCTGGCTCGAACACACTTTGCTGGATGGCGGTCTGATGTCGTTTGATCTGTTCAAAGAAACCACCGGCCCGTTTCACCACGGTCACACCTCAGTCGGTACTTCAGCAATTCGCGTGGTGCCTCAGGACCTGGACTTGAAAAAGGGTCTGCAAATCAAGTCCGCCGCCGGGAACACCGGTGTGGTGTACCTCGGTCGGTCCAATGTGACGGCCAATTCGAATGCGCAGACGGGTGGCTATCCGTTGCAACCGGGTGAATCAATCGCGATCCCGATCGATGAAGCCAAACAAATTTACGTGATCGCATCACAAGTAAGTCAAGACGTAGCCTGGATGGGTATCTGACATGAGTGGGTTTTGGGGATCGAGTGGAATTGCCGGCCAGCAAGGCGTACCAGGTCCTCCAGGACCCGGTGTGATCAATTGGCAGGGTCCCTGGGACAACGGGACCGAGTACGATGTCAATGATGCGGTTTCGTATCAAGGCGCGTCGTATATCTGCATTTCACAACACACGGGTCAAACCCCGCCCAACGTAACCTATTGGGGACTGCTCGCCGCCCGAGGTGCCCAAGGCATCCAAGGCATCCAAGGTGTGCAGGGTGCGAAAGGTGACCAAGGCATCCAAGGCATCCAAGGCATTCAGGGCATCCAAGGCGCGAAGGGTGACCAAGGTGTTCAAGGTGTCCAAGGTGACCAGGGGGAGCAAGGTGAGCAAGGCCCCATCGGCGAGCCCGGCCCTCCCGGAATCAACTGGACCGGGGCCTGGAACAGTGGGACTTCTTACGAGGTACCCGACGCCGTCTCTCACAACGGTGCTTCCTACATCGCCCTGAATTCGAATAGCAACTCGGAACCACCTTCCGCGAATTGGGGACTGCTAGCCGCTCGTGGTGCTCAAGGTGTGGCGGGTGCCAAGGGTGATACCGGCGAGCAAGGTGTGCAAGGTATCCAAGGCGAGCAAGGACCAACCGGCGAGCAAGGCGAGCAAGGCGAGCAAGGTGAGCAAGGCATCCAGGGTGAGCAAGGCATCCAGGGTGAGCAAGGTGTCAAAGGTGACCAGGGTGACCCCGGCCCGACGGTAAACTGGACGGGAGCTTGGAATAGCTCTACCGAATACGATCAATACGATGCCGTCAGCCATGAAGGTTCATCCTACATGGCGATTGCGGCCAACGACAATTCGGAACCACCCTCAGGTGATTGGGTCCTGATGGCTGCCGCCGGTGCTGCTGGCGAAGATGGCGACGACGGAATTAGTATCACCTGGCTCGGTGATTGGGACAGCGAAACCGCTTACCTGGCCAACGACGCCGTTGCCCATGACGGTTCATCCTACATTGCGGTTGCTCCGAATACGGATTCCGAACCGCCGTCGGCTGACTGGGATTTACTCGCTGCTGAAGGCTCTCAAGGTGAAACAGGTGCCACAGGTGATCCCGGCGTACAAGGTGATCCCGGTGAGCCCGGTCTTAATTGGACCGGTGCCTGGGATAGTGAAACCAGCTACGAAATTGATGACGCCGTCAGTCACGAAGGCTCATCGTATGTTGCCACGTCGCAGCATTCTAATTCCGAGCCACCTTCCGCCAACTGGGATTTGCTCGCCGCCGTAGGTGCGACGGGTGAGCAAGGTGAACAAGGTGAACAAGGCATCCAAGGCATCCAAGGTGATCCGGGACCTGCCGGGTTGAACTGGTTGGGTGCCTGGAACAGCGGAACCAATTACGAAATCGATGATGCCGTTAGCCATGACGGCTCGTCCTATATCGCTACGGCGGCGAATTCTAATTCAGAACCCCCGTCGGGAGATTGGGATTTACTTGCAGCCGAGGGCGCACAGGGTGCGACGGGTGAGCAAGGTGAAACGGGTGAACAAGGTGAGCAAGGTCCTGCCGGATTGAACTGGTTGGGTACCTGGAATAGTGGCACTTCCTACGAGATCGATGATGCCGTTAGTCACGAAGGTTCGTCCTACATTGCGACTTCAGCACACTCGAACTCCGAACCCCCTTCGGCCAACTGGGACCTGTTAGCAGCCCAAGGCGCGCAGGGAGAACAAGGCGTTCAGGGTGAGCAAGGTGTCCAAGGTGAGCAAGGCGAGCAAGGTGAGCAAGGCGAGCAAGGCGACCCGGGGTCGGATGCGACTCGGAATGCCATTTTGAATGGAGAGTTCAGCCTGTGGCAACTGGGGACCTCGGTGAACTTCACCGGTGCGCAAGCCAATTACTTTTGCGATGGCTGGCGTGCGGTGCTCAACGGTTCTCCGGATGTGACCTTCAGTCGTGAAACATTCACGCCTGGACAGACAGACGTCCCTGATGAGCCGGTTCACTACATGCGGATGACGGTCAACTCGGCCCCTACAGGCGGGCCTTCGGATTTCTTGGAAATTCCGATTGAGGGGGTTGATCGATTCGCCGGCCAAACTGTCACCTTTTCGTTTTACGCTCGTGCTGCGTCTGCCTTCCCACTGCACAGCACCCTGGTCCATAACTTCGGTTCAGGGGGCTCGACGCAGGTGGGTGCCGCTGCCGGTCAAGACAATAACGTTACCACCGATTGGCAGCGGTTCACGTACACCGCCACGATCAACAGTATCAGTGGTAAGACGATTGGGCCGGGAAGCTGGTTGTCGGTACGGTTGCTGCGAATCACCGGTTCCATGCCAACATTGGAACTTGCCAATGTTCAATTGGAGCTTGGGGATACAGCCACCCCGTTTGTGAAACCCCACCCCGGTGTGACCTTGGAACGGGCTCAACGTTACTACTGGTCAACCTTCCCGTTGGACACCGCACCGGCCTCGGATACCGACAGCCTGGTAGGGGCCTTGGCGGCGTTTGGGGACAGCGCGAGCGGCTTTGGGCATTACGTCAATTTTCCGGTTCCGATGCGGGCCATTCCCTCGATCACCACGTTCAATCCCATGGAAGCGGGCACCGGCTGGTGGTCGTCGGTGGATAACGACCTGGATCGACTGGTGGATGTCCCCTCGATCAGTGGAGTTGGAATCTATTTCGACGACTCTGACACGCCAATTATCAGCGATAACTACAACCGCAAATACATCCACGTGGTTGCGGATGCACGATTGGGATTCTGATGACACAACGCTACGTGATCAAGGGCGGCCAATTGATCCGCACCTCTGATAATGCTGTGATCCCGCAAGACGTAAGCAATGCGGATTACCAGCAATACCTGTCGTGGATGGGTGAAGGTCATCAGCCGGTTCAAATGGATTTGAAACGGACCTATCGCGCCAACCGACGTCGAGAATACCCCAGCATCGAGCGACAGCTTGAGGCTCTGTACGACGCGCGGAACGGCGATGACACGAAACTCAAGGCGATTGACCAGCAGATCGCGGATGTGAAGTTGAAGTACCCTAAGGCGTAAGCGATGGACTACGAATACTATGGTAGCCTCGCCGAGGCCAACGAATACTTTGACAATCGTCTGCACGAGGTGGCTTGGTACACCTCGGACGTGAAAGAACGTCCGAAAGCCTTGTACCGGGCCAGCCAGATTATTGATGCCTTGAATTTCAAAGGACACAAGCACACGGTCTACGAACTGTTGCGATCCAATCCGGATGCAACGGAAGCGGAGATTCGTGCGGCGGAAGCCGCCCAAGCGATGGAGTTTCCTCGCGGGGCGGATACCGAGACTCCGTTGGCGATTCGGGTGGCTTGCTACGAAATCGCACACGAACTCTTGGATGGGAAAGACCCGGAAATCGAACTGGAAAGTTTGGGTGTTTCCTCAGACGGTTATTCCTCGGTGCGTACGACCTACTCACGCAACCAGGTGCCGTTGGATCACATCGCGAATGGTGTCCCCAGCGCAACGGCCTGGAGATACCTGCGACCTTTTCTGCGGGATGAAGACGAACTGCGTCTGATCCGCGTTTCTTAATGCCAACCGGCAGGCTCGTGCCGGGACTGCTACCGGACCACCCGTTCTGTCCGGACTTCTAGTAATTCTCTTACGGGGTAGCAAAGGACAATTCTGTCTATGCGTATGTCTGTTCGTAATCCCTATTGGTCGGATGCCATTCTTGCCTGTTTCGACAGTGATGATCCCGCGGATGACCCGTCCGGCGACACCCTCCCCAGCGGAGAAGGTGACGACACGGTATCGGGCTCTGAGGACGATCCTCCCAGCAAGCCCAAGGGCAAGACGTTCACGCAGGATGAAGTGAACAAGCTGATCGCCAAGGAAAAGTATAGGAATCGTGCGGCACTGGAACAGGCCGAGAGTTCCTATCAAGAGTTGCTGGAGAACAGCCAACTCACCGACCAACAGCGGCAGAACCTCCAGGAACGCTTGGAGATGGTCCAAGGTCAACTTCGCACCAAGGAACAGCAAGCCGCTGACGAGAAGAAGCGCCTCAAGAGCGAGTACGACAACAAGCTGAAGAGTGCTCAGACTCAGGCCCAGTATTGGGAAGGTCGCTTCAACGACTCCACGATTTCGCGTGAGTTGCAGGACGCTGCCGTGGGTGGCGAAGCCTACAACCCCGCCCAGATCGTGACCCTGTTGCGGAGCAACACCAAACTCGTCAAAGAACCGGGTGAAGACGGGAGGCCCGATGAGTTCAAGGTCGTGGTTGATTTCAACGACGTTGACTCGGAAACGGGACAGCCGATCGTCACCACACGTACGCCGAAAGAGGCGGTGGAGCGGATGAAAGAGTTGCCGGAAATCTATGGCAACTTGTTCCGCAGCAACGTTGTCTCCGGAATTGGCTCGGGCTCGGATGCCGGGGTGCGAAAGAACGCCGACGGAACGGTGGACCTGCGTGAATTGGCCAAGGACCCGGTCAGGTTCCGCAAGATGCTCAAAGAAAACCCCAGCGTGATTATGAACGCCGGGGGCCGCAAATAACTCAGGGTTTTCTTTCACAGTGGAACCTGAGCCACTGAACATTCCCTCTAGGAGTTTCTTCTGAAAATGAAGATCGAGTTGTATTTCTCCGCAGCCGTTGTCGCCTGCTTCGATAACGACAACGATGCCCTGATTCCGGAACTATGGAGTCAAATGGGCCTGGAGATTCTCGAAGAGAACATGGTGGCTGCCAACCTGGTTCACCGTGACTTCGAGGATGAGATTCGCAATTTTGGCGATGTGGTCAATACCCGCCGACCGGGCGAGGCCAAGATTCGCCGACGTAAGGACGGGATTCCCGTCGCACAGCAAGACGCCGTGGCGACCAACGTCAAGGTGCCGCTGGATCAGTGGTTCTACTCCAGCTTTGTGATCAAAGACGGTGAGCAGAGCTACAGCTTCCAGGACCTGATCGAACTGCATCTGTTGCCGCACGCCCAGAACATCGCCCGCGCGGTGGACCGTGCCGTGTTGGGGCAGATTCACCGGTTTATGAACGTCAATCGCGTTGGCCGGTTGGGGAACCTCGACCAGAACAACGCCAAGGACTTCGTACTCGAAGCCCGGAAGGTGCTCAACGACAACAAGGCCAAGCCCGAAGGTCGTTCGTTGATTCTGTCGTCTGCCTCCGAAACGGCCATGCTTCAGAACGACCTGTTCCTGAAGGCCAACGAGCGCGGCGACGGTGGTACTGCCCTGGAGAACGCCCTGTTGGGACGCATCCTCGGCTTCAACACCTACATGGCCCAGAACGTCAACAGCATCAGCGGTGGTGACGTCACGGTCGGTTCGGTGACCAATGCAGCCGCGGCAGGTGCCAGCGGTTCGCAAGCGGTGACCATCTCGGGCATCGTCACGGTCGGCTCGTACGCCACGGTGGAAGGTAACGACCAGCCGGTGGTGATCGACGCCCAGACGGACGACACCACGGACACGACCGCGGTGACCCTCAGCGAAGCCAACAAGTACGCCACCCAAGCCGGTGCGGTACTGACGGTTTACAACCCGTGTGCCTCCAACGACGACTACGTCACCGGACACATTGAGGGGATCACGCTGAAGAGTCACGCCAGTGGCTTCCCGCCCCAGGTTGGTCAGTTGATCAGCTTCGGTGTGGACGACGCCCGCCATACCTACACGATCATCGAAACCGATTCGGTTTCGGCGACCAGCACCACGGTGTGGTTGGATCGTGCCCTGGAGGCCGACGTCGATGAAGACGACGTGGCTTTCCCGGGTCCTGCCGGTTCGATGAACTGGGCCTTGCGTCGTGACGCGATCGCCCTGGTGACTCGTCCGCTGGCCCTCCCGCAAGCGGGTAACGTCAATGCCGGTAACGCCATGTACAACGGCGTTTCGATGCGGACGTTGATGCAGTACGACCTCAAGGAAGGTGGCACGCTCGTCAACCTCGACATCCTGGCCGGTACGGCGTTGCTTGATATCAATCAAGCCGTGGTCCTGTTGGGCTAAGTCTTTCCCAGGTCGCCCGCTCATTCGGGCGGGCGACCTTTTTTATTCTCTCGAAGGGAGGCGCAATGGATTCCTTATTGCTTGCCTTCGGTGAGTTCGGGGACGCGCTGGCGATCGTCAAGCTCTACGGCCCCTTCTTACTCGCTGCGGTCTTTTTCGTCTGGCGCGATTACAAACGCGAAGACCGTCTCTCCAAGCGAATCAACACGCTGGAGGACGAACAACGGAACATCATTATTCCGTTGGTCAAACAGTGCTCGTCGGTGATTGCTGAAAACACGGTGGTGATGCAGCGATTGGAGAAGCACCTGGATTACTGAGAAAGGTTTCGTACATGGCAATACCTGTGAATCGAAACTTGACTCGGATGGTCAGGAACACGCTTTACCGGATGAAGCGCAACTACGGCGCGACCATTGATATCTACAAGCTGATCAGTACGGACACGAACGTAAGGACCGGGAAGAAGACCGTTGTTCGTGACGTGACTCGTATCCGCCGTGCTCCGGTACTCCCGGGTTTGCAGAAGCGGATTGTGAATCAGTCCATCTCACTGATATCTGCCAACAAGCAGATGGTGATGGGTGGGACGTACGACATGTCCCGTCGCCGTTTCATTGTCGATCGTCGAGACGCCCCCGAGCTTCCCGAACTAGGGACGGACGATTGGGTCGTTTACGACCATCGTAAATGGCAGATCGAATCGGTCGAGGAATTTGAAGTCCACGCTGGCTGGGTGATCACCGGCCGTGAGTTGGTCGGTGAAGTCCCCGACGAGATTCTTCAGCTTTCCGCAGACCATCTTCTGGTGCTGGGCTCCACGGCCAGCGGGGAGGGGTAAGTGGCTGCGAATCCGAATTGGGCACGTTGGGTGTTCGCTTCGATTGCCGATCGTCTGGAGACGTTGGCGAAGGACAACGACATCCCCGTCATCGTGGAGCATTTGCATGAACGCAGTGCTGCGTTCATGCAGGCTGATGACCGGGTGGAAATCCGGATTACCGGCCCGGTGACTGAAGAACTGAGCAAAGGCTATCACCGTCTACTCGTGGACGTGAATGTTCTGCTGACCAGTCGCTATGGCGGTATTCAGAAGAACGGATATCAAATCATCACCAACGCCGGGCTTTTCCATACAGCCCTCAGCCAGTCGATCCCGGTCTGGAACTATGGGGACGAGTCGGGTGATTACCAGGAAGGTGATCCCGAATCTCAAATCTTTCTCGGGTGTCTGCAACCTGCGCGTGCAGTCAAGGTCTATCACTTCGGTCAGAACGACAAGACTGACAAGTTGAAGCAGACGATCGTGGACACCCGCTACGAGTTAAACATCTCAGAGTGAGGTTGCCAATAAACAATGGCCAGAATTGAACTGCGCAACTCGGTTGTACGCCTGAAGGACGGTCTTTCGGGAACGGCTGCGTTGACGGACTCGCCCCCGATGATGAGCGACTCCGATCTCGACCTGGATGATATCGTGTTGAACACGGATATCACCACCAAGGTCCCGATTGGTGCTCGATTCACCGTCGCTGGCGAAACGGGTACTCCGGTGCATGTGGTCACCGGTCGCACCAACTCCATGGACACCACGACCAACATTGAATTCTCGCCTCCGTTAGGGGCGGGGACGTACATGGAGAACGACGTCATCACCTTCTTGCCCAATCAGTTGGACATCAAGGTTGGTGACGGCGATATCACGTACACGGAAGCCGACGAATACTTGTATGACCTCGATCGGGACGAACTGGACACGGTCCGCAAGGGCCAGGACCAGCCGATGGAAGTCAGCTTGAACTTCGTTTACGAGCAGATCACCACCGGCACCGATGAGCCCATCGCTCCGATGGATGCCATCAAACGCCGGGGTGGTGCTGCTGAGTGGGTTAGTGCGGCAGAGGATAAGTGTGAGCCCTATGCGATCGATGTGGTCGTGGTTCACACCCCGCCCTGCGGTACGACCGAATCGGAAACGACTACGTTTCCCGACTTCCGCAGCGAGAGCCGCGAAGTCAGTTTCCGGGACGCCAATATCGCGATCTCGGGCCGCTGCAATGCGACCGAGCCGATTGTTGAGCGTGCCGCTTAACCATCATCTCTGTGTTGCCCGTCCATCGTGGCGGGCAACACTTTTCTTTCTCACGCAAGGGAATCCCACACATGAAAATTGGAGGCGTCGATCCTTCGACCATCTCCCCGGAACAAATTCTGGTACTGCCCCGGGGTGATCAGCATATTGTCTTTCGCGGTCGGGGACTCCTCGATAAGGACGAATTCGACAATCTGTGTCCGGCCCCCAAAGCACCGGTGAAAACGACCAAGAATGGTGCGGAACCGGATACCGAAGACGACAATTACAAGAAGTCGATGGAGGTCCACAACAGGAAGTGGCTGTCCTACCTCGTGATCAAGACGTTGGAGCCCTCGGACATCGAGTGGGATACCGTCGATCTTGGTGAGCCCTCGACTTGGGTCAAGTGGCAGGATGAACTGAAGGCGAACAACTTCTGCCAGGCCGAATGCAACCGCATTCTCCAGTTCTGTCTGGAAGTGAATTCGCTCGATGAGGCCAAGTTGGATAAGGCCCGTGAGTCTTTTCTACAAGGTCTAGTGAAGGCGTAGGACAGATTGTCTGGCCCCGGTATCGAACCGCGGACTATTTAATCTGGTGTGCCTGTGAGCGGTTGCGGGTGTTACCTCCCGGCGTCAAACCTAACTGGGATGACAATGGCTGCTACACCCAAGCTCGCATCATCGCCTTCCACCAGTTGCGCGACTACGACGAGAGTCAGCGGGACGCTGAAATGGTTGGGGCAGGGATGCCCGGGGTGCGAAAACGTCCCAGGCGCTAAGCTGGTTAGACCATGAAACTCAAAGCGACTTTCAAGGCACCCAGAATCAATCTCACGAAGTACCGTAAGCAATTACAGACGGAGTTGGGCGAGGCACTAGCGGAGGCCACGTTTCGCTGGTTGAGCGAGACGGCGGACAAGATTCCTGTCTACAGCGGTGCGTCGAAAGCGACCTTCATTCCTTTGGCGAATGAAATCTCCCTTCAGCTTGCCATTGCCCCGATTGTGCGGAGCCGTATTCCGTTGGGTCTGGCCCATGGGGACGGCGAAATCATCACCGACCCCGTGAGTGGTCGCTTCACGTTCACGTACTACACCGATCTCTTTTATCTCGTCTACAACGAATACCACAACGCCAACCTAGTCGGGTTCCATTTGCGGAACCCTGGTCCCTACCGCTTTCAAGAGGCGGGTCGTAAGGCGTTCGAGGAATTCTCGGAGACCGTTCGTCTCCCCAATCCCTTCAAGCAGATGGTGCTCAACACGATCACCGTTCGCTAAGTCGGCGTAGCTCAATTGGCAGAGGCGCTGATTTGTACTCAGCGGGTTGCAGGTTCGAGTCCTGCCGCCGGCTTCTTTTCTTTTAGGTCGTCCACTCGGACGAACGCGGTGCCCGCATGGCCGACGAAATTCTTCAGTCCATGGGGTTCGACGCATCCGATGCGCTACGAACCCTTGACTTACTGGATAAGAATTTTGCCACTTTCCAGAATCGATTGAACTCCGTTGCGCAGAGCATGCGGGGTTTCAATGCGAATGCTGGGAAGACTACGGCGGCGTTGATTCAGATTCGTAATAACGCCACCTCCACCGTGGATGCACTGAGCCGTCTTTCGGCGCAGCCGATCACACTCGGCGGACGTGTTGACGGGCAGGACTTGCTTCGTGGTGCTGATGCCGCTGCGAAGATGAATGAACTGCTGGGGCAGACCACCAATCAAGCGGGCCAAGCCGCCAACGCCATCAATAATGTTGGCAGCCAATCCACCAAGAGTCTCAACAGCGCTCGACGCTCCGTCAACAGTTTCGCCATTAGCTGGGAAACGTTGACCCGGATCGTGACCACGCAGATTCTGGTCCGATCGTTCAGCCAACTTTCGAATCAGGTTCGTGCGTCGTTCCAGGATAACCTGGAGTTCACCCAGTCTCTGGCGGAAATCCAGACGTTGGCCCGCGACCAGTCGATCGCCAGCCTTGGTGGTCAGGTCCGTGAACTCTCAGATTCTTTCAACTTCGAACTTCTGGACGCAGCCAACGCCAAGTTCGAGATCATGCAGAATGGTTTCGAGCAGACGGCCGAGCAAGCGGAAGTCTTCTCTGCCTCGGCTGCCTTCGCGAAGACGGCCGTAGCCGATCTGGCCACGTCGGTGGATGTGATCACCGGTACGCTCAACGCCATGGGCGAGGGTGCGGACCAGGCAGAAATCGTGGCTGCCAAGCTGTTTCGTACGGTGGACCAAGGTAAGGTCGTCGGAACTGAACTGGCTCGCGTGTTGGGTCGTATTACGCCGGCCGCCCAGGAACTGGGCATCACGCTCGACGAAGAACTGGCAGCCCTCTCCACCATCACCATCGCCGGTGTCGGTGCCTCGGAAGCGATCACGCAAATCCGCGGTACGATGATCGCGCTGCAAAAACCGTCGGAGGCACTCTCCGCTGCGATCCGTGAGTTGGGCTTCGAGACCAGCGAACAATTGATCGCCGCTCGCGGTTATGTGGGTGCATTACGGGCCGTGATTGGTACCACCGATGGCACCCAAACCGCCATTGCTCGGTTGTTCCCACGGGTCCGTGGCTTGAATGCTGCGATTCGTTTGACGGGCGAAGGCTTCGATGTGTTCAACGAACACCTGGAGCGAACCCAGAACACGAGCCTGGCCGAGTTCGGTGATATCTTTGAGACCCGCATCGACACCCAATCGGAGCGGGTGCAGAAGTCGTTGCAACAACTCAGCAATTTCTTCACCGTGGAGCTAGGCGGAAGCCTGGTGGGGGCCACGGACAAGGCTCTTCAGTTTGTCGGGGGCGTGGATTCCGTCATTGACGGAATGCGGGCGCTGGTCCCAGTGGTTACCACGGGGGCGGTGGTGGTTGGTTCCTTTGGTGTTGCCATGGGGACGGTGACCACCGCGAGTAGATTGGCTGCGTTCAATCTGCAAAAGCAGGTCCCTACGGTACTGAATCTTACAAACGCCCTATTTGGTGTGCAGAACGGCGCTAAGGCGGCTGCTATCGGACTGTCTGCACTTCAAGGTGCAGCAACCGGCCTGTTCATAGGTGTGGCTACGGTTGAGTTCCTCAAATTCACCAGGGAAAGGATTGACTCTGAACTAGATGCCGCCGTTGAGGCATACACCAAGGGCCGGCTTGAGATCGTCAAGCGGAATGCTTCGACCCGTGCCGAGATTACCGCACAGGAAGAGAAAGCGTCCAGCGACGTCATTCGACTGCTGGAAGATCAGATTGCCTCCAAGCGGCGAATTTACAACCAGGATGTCGATAACGCGCGGGATGCCAATCAGCTTCTGCTGACTGACTACCGCAGTGTCTTGGATCGCATCACCGGTGTGTTCGAGGATCACGCCCAAACGCAGGAACGGCGAGCCAAGCAACTGGCTGACGCTGTTTCCAATTCGCAACAGCGGCAAGTCGATGCGGTTACGGAACTGGCAGATCGTAGGTTCGAGTTCCAAACCAGTCGCCTGGACGATGGTCAGCGGTTCATCGCTTTGGAGAACCGGGCAGTCCAGTTGGCCAAGCAGGCTGCAAGGGCACTTTCCCAGGCGGAAACCCCGGATGCTGCGGGCATTGCACTCGATACCTTCCGTCGCGCACAAGCGGCGGCCGATCAAGCCCTGTCGATTGCGAATCAGGCGGACAATGCCAACCTGCGACTGGCGGCCGAGCGTCGGATCGAATTCGTTCTTCAGCAGCAGATTAAGGCCGAGCAACAACTTCAATTGCTGGCCGATCGTCAGCGTCAACAGGCGGAAGCCTCGGCCGCGGCCACCCAGGAACGGGTGAAGAATCTGAATGCGGCGGCCAAGCAATTCTTAGCCGCCAGCAAGCTATTCGACGAGTCGGGTGATCCGCTCAGCGTGGAAGAGCTTCGACAGAATCGGCGGGCGGCGAATGAAGCCCTCCAGGACTTCTTCGATTTAACCATCGCAGGCGGTCAGCAGATTCAAGCCTCGGACTTGATCGCCTTCGACGATTTCAACAGCAAGCTGACTAGCTCGGTCACGCAAGCTGAGATTCGTCAACTGACGGTAGCCCCACAGACGCTGGACAATCTGCGATCACAGATCGAAGGCTCGGTTGCGGATATCGAGGTGCTGCTGAATCTTTCTATTGATCAGACGGCGGTTCGACAAGCGGTCGAGGAACAGGGACTCAACGAGGGCCTACGTGTTCTCTCAGGTCAATTGCAGGTTGCCCAGGCTGAGTACGCTCAGCTTCTGCGTCAGCAAGACCAGGTTGCCACGATCAATGAAACGATCTTTGAACTAGCAGGCAAAAATGGTCGAGTCCTGGCGGCCACGATCAGCAGCGCCACCGACGATATTATCGGTTCTGGCAATGCGATCGAGCGGTTCCGTGTGATTGCGGAGACGGGACTATTCGGTGGGACGGGTGAGCGAGTTCCCGAACAGCTAAGGAACTTTGCTCAAGGCGTGGTGAGCCTGTCGGATCGGATTGTTCAGGCGGGTACGGATGCCAGCTTTGCCTCGGAAGAGTTCAATGCCTTAGTCTCGGATGCGAATGCGATTTTCAGGGATCGTCCGGCTGGGAGCGCCTTATTAAGTACGATACTCCCGTTCGGAGATATGGCGGATGTCGAATCTGGAATCCAGAATGCTCTGGACTTATTGCAACAGATTGCTGAATCAAGAAGCCAACTGGAATCCCAGTTTCCGGAACGGGGCTCATTCGAGCAGCGATCTATTGAGCTTCGGCAGCGAATTGAGTCCATCCGTCAGGGATTGATTGATGCTCAGTCGGCCTCGCAACAAACCTCGACTAATGCTGCGAGTGTTCAAGGGTCTCTGAGTCAGACCGTCGATCCGACGCAGACCATTCGTCAGAACCTACTTGATTCTGCCGACGCCTTGGAGCGTATGCAGCGGGCGGCCGTGGCCCTGACTCTCCCGGGTTCATCCCAGGTTCAGCGAGCGGCCACCGGCGGTGTGATGCGGTACTTCGACAGTGGTGGATTCGTTCCGCGGGGTACCGACACGATCCCGGCGATGCTTTCTCCGAATGAGCAAGTCATCAATGCCACCAGCAGCCGGAAGTTCTTTTCACAACTCCAAGCGATCAACGCCGGTATCCAACCGGTGTATCGCAATGAAGGCGGGTCCGTCACCAACGTGGGTGATGTGAATATCACCGTCAATGAATCTTCTAGCCCTCAAGCAACCGGTCGCGAAGTGATGAAGATCATCAATCGCCAGTTGCGACGGGGTTCGAGCAGTCTTCGTTAAATTTCACGGGAGAAAAGTTAGTGCGTGATTCTCTTCGGGTTTCTGACCAGGCTTCGGTCCAGGCAACCCACCCCAAGCAACCCAAGTCCAAGCTCGGCCTGCGAGGCAAGTTCAAGGTCGAGCACTGGTTCAAGGGTGTTAAGATCAGTGAGCATGAGTTCCCCAATGGCATCACCAATGAAGGTAAGGATGCCATGCTGGACGCCATGTTCAACAGCGGAAGTCAGTACACCTTCTACATGGGTCTGATTGACAACAGTCCGTCCCCCACCTTGGCCGCGGCCGACACCTACGACGGTATCGGCGACACCAATGGCTGGACGGAGTTCACTGACTACACCGACGGGAACAATGGCGATAACGCCGGTACCCGCCCCGAGTGGCAGTCGGACGCAGCTTCAGGCCAAGCCGTGACCAACAGCACGCTCGCCATCTTCGACATCACCGATACGGGTACGGTCCACGGCCTGTTTATTGCAGGCGGTGCGAATGCCCAAACCAAGAGTGACTCGACTTCTTCGGGTAACGTCTTGTGGGCAACCGCCCCCTTCGCAACCGGTAACGAAGCGGTCTCCAACGGCAGCCAACTCAAGGTGACCTACACCGTGGATAGCTGATCCATGCGTGGCATCTATACCATTGAGCATTGGCGTCGTGGGCAGCAGTTGTCCAAGATTCAAGGGCACAACGCAGTCCCGGATGCTTCCAAAGACTTCATCCTGAATTGCTTCTTCAACGGCGGTACCCAGTATTCGAACTGGTATGTCGGCGCTGACCAAGGGTCAGGCGTCGGTACATTTGATGTGCTGACCTACGAAACCCTTGAGTCCTACTTCAACTTCGACGAATTGTTGAGCTACACCGATACGAATAACAGTGGGAATGCGACAACGCGACCACTGTGGAACAACGGAGCCCCCTCGGGTGAATCGATCAGTTCCAGTTCACCATCGGTGTTTACGATTACAGAAGACGACGTTGACTTTGGTCGATTCTTTCTTTGTGCCGGACCCGACGCTCAGACCAAGGGCGACTACTCATCCGGCAACATCCTGTGGAACATCGGAGGCTTATTTGGTGGTCCCGTGTTCAACGCCCAAACCGACGACGTAATCAATCTCTCCCTGGAGATTGAGTTGTAAGTCTCCCTTGCTAGGCCGGGTGGTTGTCGTCAGACGATCGCCCGGCCTCTTTTGGATTACCTATGGCTACTTTCAATAAGACTGCCACTGAATCTGGCTTCATTCCAACCCAGAGCAATGAAGTCACGGTCCCTGATATTCGGAACGTGTCTGCAACGCATACGGTTTCGTTGTCAGATGACGCTGGTCTCGTCATTACGGCGAGTAGCTCAATCAGCCTGGGGCATAGTAACTCAGTGGAAGTGACTTATGTCGCTTCCAATACACTGTCGCTTGACCACACTGTGGAAGTTACCAAAGTGGTGACGCTTTCAGGGTCGAGCAGCATTATTGTCGGTCAATCTGTAGGCCAGACTGAAGAAGTTGGCGCGACCCACAGCATTCAGACGATTACCGAGGAACTGGACGACGATAACCAGATTGTCGAAGTAATCAGCGGTCTCGATGGCACGGCGACGGTCATCAAGACGTCTACCTACCCTGTGACTCAGATTGTGAGTCTTGGGCAGGTGGCAGTGGCGACCCATATCCGCGCGGATGCGATCGCTCTAACTGCCGACAATACGATTGCCCTGAGTCAGTCGGCAAACTTGGGTGTGGCCTTATCGGCTAGTAGTAGCCTGAACCTGTCGCACCAAGCAGTAGGCCACTTGACGAAGTCAGTGAGCCAAAGCCTGGGACTTAGCCAAACGGCTGAGGTGGTTTCGGTCAACAGCCCTGAGGCCGACCAGACGATCCCCCTCTCGCAATCTGTGGCGTTCATCTTGGTCCCGCCCGCGGTCATTAACGACCCCGAGGCTCCCGACCCGAGGCTGTGTGAGTACAGCCCATTTGTCAGTGGCGGACCGGTCCCTACGGAATTGGAAGGCCCGGCCGACGGGGTAACGGCTCGCTTCGCTTTGATCTATCCGGCCGAAGGGACGGCCACCGATACGATCGAGATGCGTCCGCCTAACCTGGGAAACAAAGATCGATTGGCCTTCGATCGGATCAACCGGGAGAGTCGTGGCGGAACGTTGATTGTTTTCGCCGATCCGATCTGGCCTAAGTCGCAAACGATGGTGCTCAACTTCTCAGCACTCCATCGTGAAGAAGCCATGGACCTGATGAGGTTCATGCAGGATCACTTGGGTGAGGAAATCAAACTCACCGATTGGGAACAGCGAGTTTGGCGAGGTGTGATCACCACACCGGATTCTCCGATCATTGCCGATCGGCGTGACAGCTACTCAGCCAGCTTCGAATTTGATGGGGTGCTCGCGTGATTACATTACAAGCCCCCTACCCTGCCCTGGAATGCACCACGCTACTACCAAATCCCGACTTTGGGGATTCAGAGAATAGCACCAACAGTGTGGACCTCAAACGGGCGATGGATGGCACCGTCTACACCTACGTGCGTCGAACCGGTAATCGGCAGCGGTTGCTGTTTTCATTCCGGCTCACTCGCAATAAGGCCCTGGAGCTTAGGGCATTCATTCAGGCTTACTACGCTCAGCGAATCAAAATGACCGACCACGAAGGTCGCGAGTGGTTAGGCAACCTGGTCAACAACCCATTTGAGTTTGACACACCGCAAAGGGCTGCACCGGCAATCGCACCGATGCCTCGGGGCGAGTACCAAGCCATTACGCTGGAGTTCGAAGGGGTGGAAATAGTATGAGAGACATTTCTTCAGCATCCCTCGCGAAGCTCGCCACCAATTATGGGACGGAGCCAGTCAACATCCTGGCGATCCAGTGGACCCCTGACGGCCCACTGAGCCATTATGGTGATCGAACGATCAGCGGGTTCATCCAAGGTCGCATCCTATCGATCAGCCAAATCGATAATGTGGTGGACGTCTCGGGTGGTGGATACTCCGAATCGGTTCAGATCACCCTGGATGACCATGACGGGTCAATCAAGGCGATCCTGGACGCCCACGACGTTCACAAACGTCCTTGCTATATCTATCAATGGTTCGAGGGGCTAGACCTCTCCGAACGCTTCATCGTGTTCCAGGGACAAGTCTCCAGCCCGATTACTTGGCGTGAGGGTGATCGCTCAGTCAGCTTCACAATTGTCTCGAAGCTGGAAGATCGAGAGATTGGCTTCTCGGCCGAAGAAGGTGCCTTCGAAAGTATTCCCGAGCGACTTGTAGGTCAGCCATGGCCGATGGTGTTTGGCACAGCCCTGGATGTGCCGGCCCTGGCGTTGACTGAGCCTCGTTTAGGTACGATCACCAGTGGAGCCGCCATCCGTGACTTCACGCTACCACTTGAAATCCAAATGCTCACCGGCCTGTTTGTGAACATGCAGGTGTTGCAACTGATGTTCTTCGACCTTGCCGCTTATGCCTTGGAGAATGGGAACGAGGCGGCGGCTACGGAGTATCAGGCCGAACTCTCTCAGATTTTGATTCGGCAGGCCGACTTAGCGAATCAGATCAACCAGCTTGAAGAAGAGCTAGCCGATCAGATCGAACAAGAGACCCCGACCTTAACCGTGTTGGGAGGTGAGAACTTTCCGCAGAATCAGACTCTCACTATTGATATTAACGAGGGTTTGTTCACTGGCTACTTCCAAGGGCAAACCTTCCATATCCTCTCCCGCCAGCACCCAAGATTCGGTGAGGTGGAACAGCCGTTCGCTTACGTTACGTTCGTGATTGACAATCCCGGAGGGTTGCAACCACGCGAGTTGGTGCAGTACACCGAACGGATCATCGGTGAGAAGGCTGATTTCTTTTTCGCCCCAGCCGGCAGTCGTGTGAAGCTGGCCTCAGGTGAGCCTCAAGACTACGTGGCCTCGATCGTTCCGGGCAACGTGCTGAACGTCTCCGCTTACCGCGCGTTCGAAGGTGTGAAGCGGTTGGTAACAGTCCCGCCGGAACTCTACTCGGTACGGGTGGAATCATTCGGGAGTATTGGGGCGGTGATTGTTCGCCTCGATCAGCCTCTATCCAATCGTGCGGGTGAGGGCTGGGAGGATGAAATCTATGTGACCTTCGAGTCTTCCATTGGCCCTAACGTGGCCGACATCCTGGAATACTTGATCGCTGTGTGGACTCCAGAACTCTCAACCGACTCATTGAGCTTTGACCACATCCGCAGCGTGACAGCCAGCTATCCGGCTAACTTCGCCATCCTGGATCGGAAGAATGTTATCCAGGTACTCAAGGAAATCTCGCGGCAGGCCCGTTGTGCCATCTGGCTCTCCGGTACAACGTTCAAAATGCGATACCTTCCTGAGGTTCCGGATGCGGTGACGACCATCACCGAAAGCGACATCATGCCCAAGAGCATGGAGGTGTCGCACACTGAGACTGAGGACCTTGTTACGAAGCTCACCGCTGAATGGCGGGAGAGCTATGCGGCGGTCGAGCCCAATAAGGTGATCCTCAAGCACAATGTGAAAAAGTACGGCACGATGGAGTCGGTCGAGGATTACTACATCTACAACAGCCAAGAACTGGTGGTCAAGAGTGCCACGTTCTGGCTGATCCGACAGGCCAATACCTGGAAGCGGGTGAAGTTCTCCACGCCAATCAGCAAGTTGCAACTGGAAACGCTGGATGGGGTAGAACTAGATTTCAACACGGGGTATATCGCCAATGAGGACGTGATTGGGATCGTCGAGAAGGCGGACTACGATTCGGATCGCCATGAAATCGACTTCGAGGTGTGGACCCCGGTCAAGGCCGGCACGATGGTGACCTATGACTTCGCTTACCCGGCTGAAGTGGACCAGACACTGTTGTTCCCCACGGTGGAGGAGATAGCCGCGGGTAACGCCGGGGGTGACGGGCCTGGCAAGAATGCCAATGGGCAGTTGTTACCGCCGACGTTTGCCATTGTACCCGGGTACCGGATTCACCAGGACTACGGAGACCCGAGACCGTCTGATACCGGTGACGTGGCCCCACCGTTACCCACCAACTTGATCTTGGCTTCGTTGTTCGATCTGAACGATCCCGGGTTGGAAACCTCCGACTACGATCAAACGCCTTACGCCCCTGGCGTGGTGTCCACTCAGATTGATATCCGTCGCACCCAGATTGTGGACTCGGCAACCGGTGAGGCCGCAACGCTGGATTCGTTCTTCAATCAAGTCAAGGACGGTACGATCCATCTGAAGCCGTCGATCACGATCAGTGATGAAACGAACGAGTCACCGTTCAACTTTGTGTACGACGCCACGATCGGGCAGTTCGCACCGGAAGCGGCTCACCTCTATGACGATGAGGCGTAATCGTGGAAGCATTTGCCTGGCTCGGCGACTTGGTCGAGCGTCTGGGGAGCTTGATCCCCCGACTGTTGATTGTGCGAGCGACTCATGCCGGTGTTCGCTGGCGTAATGGGAAGGAAGCCCTGCCACTGGAGCCGGGGATTCATGTTTACTGGCCCATTGTGACGGAGATCGATGTCATCGTGGTGGCCCGGCAGACGCTGAAGGTAACCGGACAGGTGCTAACCACGCTCGATGGAAAAGAAGTCGTGGTTGGTACGGTGGTTGTTTACCGCATTCACGACGTCGTGAAGGCGATCGGTAAGAAGAATTGGGACGTGGATAGCACGCTCTCAGATATCACTGAGGCAGCCACGATGGACGTGGTGGCCAGCACCACGTTCGAGGACATCCTGGCGGGCATTGGCAATGGGATGATTGCTGATCGATTGACCAAGGCATGCCGATCGGAACTCAGACGCTATGGCGTCTATGTGTCTCGCGCACGCATGTCGGACTTCGCACGCTGCAAGGTTCACAAGCTAGTCGGTAACCAGCCAGAGGCATTGGCCGCATGAGCATTCTCACCGTCTCCCAATGGAACGATTTAATCACTCAGGTCAACACGTTGGCTCAAAATCCAGACAGCGGGTGCGAGGCGGTGGGTACCCTGCCTTTGGTGACGGCACCCCATGTCTGGTCGGTTTCTGACGTGGAGGCGATTCGCGCCAAACTAACAGATATATGCGCCGACAACAGCTTTGAAGCACCGCTTACGATTTGGAGTCAAGCGATCATCGATGAGATTGAAGCGGCGATCGCTAACGGCTGGTGCAATTGTGAGGACGCCTGCGGGGTGTGCGCCGTGGGGCTCGTGCCGGACCATCAGGATGTGGAGTTGTTGGAAGACGTCCTGCCTGATTTGGAGAATCCCCTGGAATTCCCGGCAGAGGGTATCTTTCGGTTTGGGGTAAGCATCTCGACGGAAGACGATGACCCGGAAAACCAAATCCCCATCGAGGAAGTCCTGGTCCGTAGTGTAGGACCTATCAGTGGTGATGGAACCTATATTCCGATCGTGGGGTTGTCAGCCGCCTACTTCTATCTGACTTTGGGTAGCTGTCTTCAAGGTTCGCTTTCGAACACGACGGTTCCGGCAGGGGTGATTACTCCAGGTACGGTGGTGTCGGAAATCTCACTCCAATTGAGCCAGTCCAATTGCCAGTACCTGTTTGGCATGTTCGTTCCAGATGGTTTGACCTTTGAACAGACGATCGCGGCATTTCAGGGTCTTGGGGCTCCGATTACCTTTGAGTTTGATTTCGATGATGGCAACACAGAACTCAGTGCGAACTTTGACCTGGACCCGGAGACTGGTGAAGTGTTTTTGTCTGCTGGGAGTCCGGTGGAGTTTGAGCCGGAACACGTAGAGCAACTTGTGGTCACGGCCGAGATCGTGGCGAATGGGTTGACCCTGCCGGCACAGTTCTACTTGAACCTGACCTTTGTCTAATAAAAAAGCCCGGCCAATTGGCCGGGCTTTTTTCATAGAGTGGGGTCATATCTCAATAAGGCTTTGTAGACCTTGGCCTCAGAGAGAGCGTCGTCTAACGCATCATGCGAACGCTCTTGGCGGATGCCGAGTTGACGACAAAGTCGGCTAAGACCGACGTAAGGGAATGGAATCTGGGCCGCCTGGAATTCAGCCCGGTCGTTGAGGCTCAGGGCGTAGAGCATCGAGTCGCGGGCGTGTGAGTGGAAGATGCGTCCTGCCATGTCCACCCCAAGCCATGCCTTCAAGAAGGAAGACTCAAAGGCCCAGTTGTGGGCCAATGGAATCAGCGTCTTCCCAAAGGGGAGATCGAGCTTGTCATGCCACTCGCAGAGCATGTCTTGCACGGTACCTGAATCCGGGGCGTGCAAGATGAGTTCATTGATGTTTAACCCGTGAACGAAACCGGCGTTGGGGTCCTGGCGTTCAGGGAACTCGGGCTTGATCGTGGTGTAGAAGGGCCGCACGTCTTTCAACGGGTCCAGGTTCGAGTCCAGCGGCACCACGGCGATCTGAATGATTTCATGGTAGCCCGCGCGAGCACCTGTTGTCTCAACGTCTACGGCGGCCATGAGGTTGCCCTGGTTGTGAACCAGGCTGGAATAAGTCTTTGGCATGTTAATCGAGCGCCCAAGGATCGAGCGGCTTGTCTTGATGGTTTTCGATGTCGCGAGATTGTTTGATGGCTTTACGGTTCTTACGATGGGTCTTCTGCTTGAACCACTTTTTCTTGAGGCCCGGGATGCGGCTGGCCATCCGTTTGAACCAGGGGACGTTGGGCATTGAACACTCCGTAGTAACCGACCATGGCTAGCCAGATGGTGTTGGTGAAGACAACACCAACCCCACCCCAGAAGCTCCACCACTGGTCAATGGATGGATAGTAGTAGAGGTTCCAGTAACCCCAGAAGGTGAAGTAGGTGATGTGGATGGGGCTGACCCCTTTGACCTGCTTGTCTCGGTAGAGACGCAGGCAGGTCATGGCGATGAACAGCCCTCCGAGGAACTCGAAGCCGCTGTTGATGACGTCCTGCATTAGGCGGCCACCAAGCGGTTGTTCTTGATCTCCCAGCCTGGGGCGAGCCATTCGTGGTCACGTTCCCAAGGTGTGATCTCTTCGATGAGGCGGGCGGCTTCTAGGTTTGGTGGTTGGAATCGGCAGGAATGTGCTGGACCACCATCCCACTTCAAACAATGGGCACAGCCATCGGCCCATTGTTTCAATTCACTCATTTGGCCAGTGCTGCCGATGACAAAGTCCCAGTGCTGGTAGCACAGCAATGACCGATCGGCGATTGATGGTCGTGGGCCATAGCCTGGACGAATGACTTTTACCAACGAGCCGCCCATTTCCTTGATCGCATGGGCCTCGTTCGGGAATCGGACGTCGGGGATCAGCAACACATCCGCATCGTGGTTGGTCTTGAGCACGTAGTCGATCCAGGTGTCGATGTAGACTTGCTCGCGAATGGCTGGTGTGCCTAAGTCGATCCAGATTTGCACCGGACTCTTCCCGATTTCCGGGAGCACGATGTCTCGGTCCTTTTCGCCTTCGGGGGTGTCGTACCAGGCTGCCTCTCGCATCCCGGCCCAACCATAAAGCTGGTGAGCGATGTCCTTGAGCTTCCAGGCGAAGGGAATCTTCTTGGCCTTGATCCCACGTTCCTTCAGTGATGTGAGTAGCGCGTTGGCGGTGCTATCCTTGCCTGTGCGAGAGTAATGGCCGAAGCCAATGATGTTCATGCAATCTCCGATTCTTCACAAAGAATGACGTGCCCGTGAATCGGGCGGCCAGCCAGAGAAGTGGCGTGCGAGTTGAGGTGGCTTGAGCCGGGGTTAATGACCATGACCTCATCGGATAGAAGTCGCATGAGTTCAAAATCTCCGACATGTTGTCGGAGTTTGGTCATGGTGAGAGGAACTTCTAACTTGGAGGTTCGATGGTCGTGTGGGATAAGGGTGGCCATTAGTTTCTCTTGAGACGGTCACCTTGCACGGTGACCGGGGTGGTATCCGAACCGGGGGTGAATGAGAGGTTCCCGATATAGCGTTTATTGCTGTGCCACTTCCCATAGGGAAAGCGGTAGGGCATGCTGCTGATGATTTGTTTCTTCTTATGCCACCGGTCGTAATGCTCGGGGGCTTCCTCTTTCAACCACTCGCAGAATCGATCCACGAAGTCGCTGAACAAGGTCATTTCGCCCTTAACGTGGTGACAGCAATCGTCGATGAAGACTTCCAGCGGTGTGCGCGAGTAATCGGAGACCATTTCCTTGGTTGCACTCTCCACTACCGGTAGCCGCAAACGACCTGTCATCGGGGGCAGCTTGAGGTCCATGACGGTTCGCATGAAGTACGGGGCTTCATCTTGAAGACGCTGGATCAAGATGGGCTTGGGAATCTCGTCTTCGAGCATCGGGACGAAGATCACCGTGATGCGGGTGTCACCCGGCTGCACCAACAGTGCGGTTCGCTCGTTGGCGGTTTGCACCCAGTGCGTGGTGTTGGGGATCGGATAGGCGTCGGTTCGCATCCGACGAATCCACAACACGGGGTTGGTAATCCAATCCTTGAGCCGGGTGTAGGCTGAGGTTGGTAGGTTCCGTTCTTCGATCACGGCCAGCACACAGCCGGTCAACTCACCGTTGTATTCTGAGATCAATGCTCGGTCGGCCGCGGCCACGCCCGAGGTCATTAACAGTGAGAGGGCTTCGTGAAAGATGGACTTGCCGCTGTTCTGGTCGCCGAAGAAGAACAGGTAGGGTAATTTCTGGTTGGGTTCACGAAGCATGCAGGCCGCCCAGTGAAGCAAGTAATCACGGCCCGTGCGGATGTTGGCATCACGAGCCCATTGTGCGTCCCGTAAGGCTGCGTCAAGGTCCTGCCCGCAGTGGGTCAGAATCTTGTCCCAGTGAGGGTGCTTAGGGGCTTCGTCATCGTCCACTTCCGCTGGGTGGTACTTGTACTGAGGGGCGTCCATGTTCCACTGGCGGTTGCCAGGGAACTCGGGCTGGAAGGGCATGTTGACGATGGTCCAGGAATCCAGGTTCGCGCCACCTAAGATTGATTCCGCTTCGGCTTTGGTCTTACCTAGGAAGGCCAGGCTCTTCATCGCGGTTGATTCGGTGGTCCACTTCCAATCGCCTGTGCGAATCTTGCGGCATTTCCAGCCCGCCGGCCGTTTGTCGGGGGTATCGAGGGCACGGACGATCTGATCGAAGTCGGTGGTGGAGTCGCTGTCTTCTTTCTCCACCCGGGTGTTGAATTCACGGACCCAATAATCCCGCTTCGGGAGCCATCCCAAGCTCTTCATCTTCGAGTCGTTCTCGCCTTCGTCTTCCTTACTACGGGCAACCCGCATCACGATGCGACCATCCTTAGCCGTGGTTAAACGTGCCTCGCGTGTGCGGAGATCATCGTCGAGATTGATCCCCTTCTGACCGAGAGCCTCCGCAGCCTCGATCGCTTTGTTGGCATCGTCGAAGACGTAGTCGTTCTTGTCGGGGTCCTTGAGGCCGCCCAAAGCCTTAGCAGCAACACGAAGGCTAGGTTGGTGATTGAAGTAGCAGGTGGTCCAGCCGTCGCCGTCCTGTTCCCACGTCTCGGCCTCAACTGTGCCGGGAGAGAAGCGGTAGACCTTCCATCCGCCATCGTCGATGGGGAAGGCGAAGCAGTTCTGCTCGCCTGGGTCCTTACCGCTGGAGACGGTCTTGAAGAAACCCACCAAGCCAAGCTCGTTCTCTTCCATGAGGGCTGCGAAGGCCCCTGTGTGCGTCTGCAACAGGTGGTGGTCGGGAACCCAGACGCAGGTGAAGCCGGTCCGCTGAAGCTCGTCGATGATGGCCTTGTGCTTGTCATCCAGTGGTACGACCCGACGGCTATTAGCCAGGGCCTCGAAGGTGTCATAGTTGTGAACACCCTCGACCCTGATTTTGGACCGTTGACGACTGATCACCTCTAGGTGGGCGCGCCAGTTGGTCGGCAAATCATCTTCTGTAATTGTGGCCTCGGCCGCCTTAATCAGGCTCAACCCGGTATTGCCCATACGGGTGGACCAAATCCACATGTTGCCGCCACAGGCGTCAAGCTGACTGCTGAAGTCAAACCCCGCCTCGCTCGACATCATGCCCAACACGGCCCGACCTAGGGCTTGGTGAACGGTGTGGTTCTCCGTGGGAACGTCGCACAAGACGTACAGGTGGAGGCCGCTACCGCTGGTACTGCGACGGACTTCCACCCACGGAATGGATTGGGCCGCTGCGCAGACCTTGTCCAACTCGTCCTGCGTCACGCCTACGCCCGCTGCGTGGCCCGTGATGCTATCGAAGTCGTACCCCAGCCACCGGGAGCGTCGTTCCTTCCAGTCCCACCCAGTCGATCCTATGTCGTCTGCGTGGACGTCCAGGGGCCAGGTGAGTTCGTAGTCCCGCCACTCGGGCTCGGAGTTGGCCTTCTTCGGGATGCGAATGTTCCACCATTCATCCATCCCGTCGGTATACGTGTTCTTCTTACCGTCCACAGCGAACCCATCGCCGGCGGAGACGTTGACTTGAGTCTCCATCTCATGGGCTAGGTACCGCTCGATGAGGTCGCTGTTCTGGGCCGCACGCTTCTCTAGAAAGCGTCGGATGGCTTGGGTGACTTTAGGCATTCACTGGTTCCGTGTTAGGTCTCATTCCCACAGGTATAGAGGGCCAAAAGTCCCCCAAATATCAGCAATTTTCTCAGAAGTTTTCTGATATTCCGGGCTGTTCTGGCCCTCTATACCTGTGGCGGCGAGGAACTATGAACGACCAGATTCAATTTCTGAAGCTGTCCGAAATTGTTGAGCCTTGGATCATTCTTCGGCCAGTTCGGATGGACTCAGTTGCATACGCACTGATGCGGGATTCGATCCGTGATGCGGGTTTTTTGAACTCCATCAGTGTGCGACCTAAGAACGGTCGCTACGAGATTATCGATGGCCTCTATCGATATAACTGCGCCGTGGAACTTCGGCTGGAGGCTATTCCCTGCATCATTAAGGAAGGGGTTTCTGATCGCGATGTCCTGGCTTACCAGATTCAAGCCAACGCCGTTCGCCCGGAAACGACGCACACTGAGTACGCTCGGCAGCTTCAACGAATCTTCAAATCCAGTGCTGGGATGTCGTTCCCGGAACTTGCGGATTTGACGAAGAAAGACACCCAATGGCTACGTGATCATTTGCGATTGCTGGACTTGACAGAAGAGCAACAGACCTGGGTCGATCGGGGTGAGATACCTGTTGAGAACGGGGTGTGGTTGGCCAAGATTCCGCAGCGATTTCGCTATGAATACGTGGACCTTGCCAGGGCGATGACGGTGAAGGAATTCAGGCCCATTGCGACCGGCGTGATTAAGCAGTTTCGCGAGATGGTGCAGCAAGGCCGCTACGACGAGAAGTTGATGAATCACGGTATTCCTCAAGCCTACCTGCGAAATATCTCAGAGCTTCGACGAGAGATCAAACAATCAACGGAGGCCGGGTTGGTAATCGCTGCCGAGAAGTGCCAGACCATGGTTGATGCCTGGAGGGCCGCTTTGAAGTGGGTGATTCACCTGGATGCGAAAAGCGTTGAGAAGTTTCAGCATGACCATAAGAAACGTGAACAAGCGAGAATCCTTCGCGAATACGGAGGCAAGAATGACGTAGCCTAACCCTCTCTATTACACCTCGAACAAAAAGAATAAGAACTCTCTTCTCTGTTTCACTTCACACTAGGAAATTTAATGAGTAACGAAATTGCTCCGGTTGACATTGGAGCACTCCCCTCGACGCAGTTGGCCTCGGACGCGGACTTTGACGAATTGGCCAAGGGTGGCGATTTCCTCGGTCGCCTCCAACTCTACAGCAAGGGTAAGGCCGTTGATAAGCGTCTTATCCAGGGCGGCAACTTCGGAATCCCCGAAGGCAAGGACGAGATAGTTGACCTCGGCACTTCCGTCGATTTGTTGGTGTTCGCTCGCCGCCCGAAGGCGATCGACATGAAGGACCCCGAAAACTTGATCATCGAATACGACAACAAGTCGGACGGGTTCAAGCGAATCGCCATGGAGGCCGGCGAGAAAGACTCCAACTGCATGTACGGCGTGAGCTTCCTCTGCTTCGAGCGCACGACCGGCCGCTGGTTGGAATTCTTCTGTGGCAGCAAGTCCACCCGGATCGAAGCCAAGAAGATTTTCCCGTTCCTCCCGCTGACCGCGGAAGCCATCGCAGCCCGAGAACTCGAAGACGTCGAGCCGCACGGCCCGCTGCCACTGACGCTGGAATCGAAGTACACCGAAAAGGGTCCGTACTCATGGTTCACGCCGCAGGTGAAGAAGTGCAGCACTCCGTTTACGAAGCTGCCCAAGACGGACGACATCATCGCTCAGGTGACGAAGTTCGTGAACCCGAGCAAGGAAGGCCCGGAAAAGGTTGTGGAGCCCGAACCCGAGCAAGGAAAAAAGAAACGGGTTCGTTGATTTTGGGAAGAACTCCTACGTCTCTTTCGTAGGAATACTCCCACCGTAATCCTGCCTTGCGCAGGGGCTACGCGCTTCCACCTTAGAAGCTGCCGGTCATTGGCGGTAGACGCCCGTAAGGAATTCTCCGGTAACCGCCCAATACACCAAGAGTTGCGATGCCCTCCCACGTTGTCCTCATCCAAAAGCCGTCGATCGACTTCCAGACGTTCCTGGCGACCACCCTCAAGGCTCTGGGCTACAACCCCTCAAAGTCGGTGGATGGTTCCTCGATCGATCATTCTGAGTCGGAACGTTTCCTGTCTTGCCTGGCTGCCATGCAAGACAAGGACGCACCCGTGGGGCTACCTCCCCGGCTGTTGTCACACGTTTCCTTCTCGGTGCTGATCATCGTTGAACAACTTGACTTGACAGAGATTCTTGAGGCCGCTGGGGAGATGGTGTTCGTAACGGCCGAGACCGTGATGCGAGGTATCGATATCGCGGTCATCACCGGCACGCTCAAGCAATGGAAGGATGCCGTAACCCACGCTAGTGGCCGTAGCCCTGCCTGCCAAGACTGCTATGGCAAGGTGTTGAGCACGTTCAAGGCCGTGGGGCTCGACGTGTGGGACGGGATCGAAGTCAGAGATAACCAAGGAACATTGCGATTGGAGTTCAAACGAAAATGAACTGGCTGGAAGATGTGTGCGAAGACGGATTCAGCTTCTTGGAAGATCGGGTCCCGTTTCTTTGCGAATTGTTCGGTATGCTGATGATGGTTGTGATCGGAATCTTAGTCTTTCCGATCGGCTTCATTGCTCGCGGGTGTGGGTATCGCCGTGACCGCGACTGAATTCATCCGTAAGACCAAACTGGGTCGGATCATATCCGCCTGCATCGCCATTCCGGTGATACTCGCTACTCCGACGTGCTTGGCGATTATTGGCTTGGTGTTCATCACCTTGTTTGCCGTATTCATGGCCACAGTCGTGGCAATGTTTGTGTTGTACCACTTTGCCAAAATGATTGGCAGGGCCGCACTGTACTCCCTTAATGGCCTTGGTTGGTAGTCACGCCAACTCCCGCCCTCTCTTCTCTCCTACCTCATCTAATTCATGCCTATCACACGCACCAAGCTCAGGGTGCGCGCGAAGAATGGAACTCTGTACGCGCACGAAGTCCTACTAGAACCCAAGGACGGACGCATCATCTTCCGAAAGTCGCCCTTTGGCCTCAAAGACGAGATTAAGGCCATGGGTGGAGCTCGCTGGCATCCCGCGGATGGCGACGGGGATATCAAACGTTGCTGGTCCGTCGAAGACTCACAGCGTAATCGTTTCCAGCTTGCCTACATGCAGGGTGAAGACGTCTACGCCTGGTTCGACCGCGAACCGATTCAGCACGAGTTCCGTGACTACTTCTGCAACGGTGTGCCGGCCACGCCGATGACCCACCAGTTCGACCTCGCGAACCACGGGCTGACGTACCACTATGGTATCTGGGCCGCTGAGATGGGCGTGGGTAAGACCCTCTCCGCTCAGATGATGATCGAGCACTCGGGCGTCAAGGTGTGGTGGTGGGTCGGTCCGAAGACCTCGCTGCCGAATATCCGCCGTGAATTCAAGAAGTGGGACTTCGATCCGTCCATTGAAGTCGAAATGATGACCTACGAATCGGTCGTCCGACGGATGGATGAGTACAAGCCTGGGGACCCAATCCCTCAAGGCGTCATCGCGGATGAATCCAGCCGCTGTAAGGGTGCCACCTCACAACGCACCCGCGCGATGCAAATGCTGGCGAACCTGATTCGCGAGAAGTTCGGCTACGACGGCTACGTCATTCTCATGTCTGGTACGCCGAGCCCTAAGACTCCCGTGGACTGGTGGGCACAGGCCGAGATCGCATGGCCTGGGTTCTTGAAGGAAGGTTCACCCAAGGCACTCGAAAGCCGGCTAGCGTTCCTGGTGGATGCAGAATTCGACTCGGGTGTGTTCAAGAAGCGCATCGGATGGAAGGACAACGAAGAAAAGTGCGAAATCTGCGGCGACTTCCGTGAGGAAGGGGCGCACGAGTTCGACGAGTTGTCCGAGGAAGTGGAGGACATCCACGACTTCAAACCTTCCATCAACGAAGTCGCCCTTATGTATGAGCGGCTTGATGGGTTGGCGATCATCAGGCACAAGAAAGACTGCTTGAATCTACCCGAGAAGCGATACCGACGGGTGATCTGCAAGCCATCGGCCAGCGTCAATCGTGTGGCCAAGGGCATGATGCAGGCCGCGCCGAATACCATCACCGGGTTGACCTGGCTCCGCGAGTTGAGCGACGGGTTCCAGTACAAGGATGTGAAGGACGGTACCACGGCTTGCAGCCACTGTGAGAACCACAGTGGTAAGGTCTTCGAGTGGTTCAGCCCCGAGGACGAAGACAAAGTTTATGGCAACATCGACGCCTTAGAACCTGAGGTGGTCGAGAAGCTCGAACGTCGCGAGGTGGAGTGTCCACGATGCCATGGCAGCGGCGAAATGCCGAAGATGGTTCGTGTCTCGCGCGAGGTCCCATCCCCCAAGGAAAAGGCTCTCAAGCTCGATCTGAAGCGGTGTGAGGAGACCGGCCGCATCGTAGTCTTCGCCGGCTTCACAGGCTCGATCGACCGTGTCACTCGTGTCTGCCTGAAGGAAGGCTGGCACGTCGTCAAATGTGACGGCCGTGGCTTTCAAACCATCTCACCCACTGATGGAACTGTGGCTCAAGGTGGTGACGAGAGTCTGGAGTTTTGGGCGGACACCGAAAAGAACTCCAAGGTCGCCTTTGTGGCCCACCCTGAGTCCGGCGGCATGTCGCTCACGCTGACTGAAGCCCGCATGGCCGTCTTCTACAGCAACTCGTTCAAGCCCGAGTATCGGGTTCAGGCCGAGGACCGTATCCACAGACCGGGCATGGACCTCAACATCGGTTGCGAAATCGTGGACTACTGCCACCTCGCCACCGACCTACGTGTGCTCGATGTAATCACTGAAAACCGCAAACTCGAAAAGATGACGATGGGCGACTTCTCGTTGGAGTTGGACATCAAGGACAACCCCAACGTCACCATCGAAAACTTAGAGTAACCCTCTCTTCTCTGGCCCGTTCTGGGCTCCCTCTGAAGGAAGTTAATGACCCGTATTACCCCCACCAAAGCCAAGAACATTAAAGCAGCCTTGGCTGAGACCCAGTGCCGAGAACAAGGCAAGATTGCCAAGCGATTCAAAGTAAGTCGCTCAACCGTGAGTGATATCGCAACCGGACGCCGGCACAATGATATCCCGTGGCCGGAAGGCTTCAATCCGCTACCCAACAAGAAAGGTGGACAACGACGCAAATCCGAAGAGTGGGACCCCACCAACGCCCGTATCATGGAGTTGGAGGCGGACTTAGTCCACGTCACGGAAGAGCGAAACCGAGAACGACGAAAGAACAAGGTAGCCGCCAAGAACGTTGGCCTGTTCAAGGCCATGGTGGGTGAGCTTGACGCCCGAATTAAGCCGTTCACCCCACCCAAGCTGAGTGTTCCCAAGAAATCGAAATCCACGATTGAAGAGCACCTCGTGCTACACCTCTCCGATGGTCACCATGACCAAGTGGTGCGCCCGGAGGAAGTGGGAGGGTTCGAAGAATACAACTTCAACATCTCATGTGCCCGCGCCGAAAACCTCGTGGACACCACGATCGAGTGGACGCAGAAGACGCTCTCCCCGCAATTCCACTTTGGCACGCTATGGGTGCTGGCGTATGGCGACCACACCAGCGGCGAAATCCACGGCCATGCCCATCGAAGTTACTATCGGAATCAGATCAAGAACTGCCTGGCCATCGGCCAGCTTCACGCTCTGATGTTGCGGGACTTTGTCCCGTACTTCGAACAGATCAACGTGGTCTATCTACCGGGCAACCACGGGCGGCGAACGGTCAAGAAGGAATACACAGGACCCCAGAACAACTGGGATTATCTCGTAGCTGAGATCGCCCGGCTGCACTGCTCAAGTATCCCCAGCATTCAATTTATCATCCCGGATTCGTTCCAGGTGAACTTGGATATCAACGGGGTTGGCTTCAACCTGTCCCACGGGGATGACGTGCGCAGCAACGGTGGCATCCCGTTCTACGCCATGCAACGCAAGCAGAAGAGCCTGATGGCTCTCAGTGCGATGCAACAAGGCCCACCGATTCGGTACTTCGCTATGGGACACCACCATGTGCATGCCGAACTCCAGGACGGTAACGGTGAACTGATCGTGAACGGCCCCTGGGTGGGCACCGATTCGTTCTCCTACAACTCCTTCTCTGGGTACCGGGAGCCGAACCAATTGCTGCACGGGGTGAACCCCAAGTACGGCATCACCTGGCGACTGCCAATCAAGCTGCGACACGACAACGAGAAACAAGGACCAAAGCGATACCGAATCGATGGTGGTCGTGACATCGGTCCGCTAACCATCCTGTGAGAATCCCATGACCCGAGACGAAGTCTACAACCTGATAGACAAGGAAACTGGGTACCTAAGTCACGTTAGAGAGTACGAACCCGATCGTGTACCAGTAGTCAGCGACTGGTTGATGCGTATCAAGCATGAAGCTGCTGGGTTTATCCACAGCACCGACAGCATCGACCACATTATCCGGTTAGCTGGGTTTTGTGTGGCCTGCATGGAAGGGCACGGGGCAATCCGACGGGAAGATTCAATGTTCTTATACCCTCTGTCTCGGGACGGGGTATACGGAATCATTGACGGAGAACGAGCTTATCAGAATGCGTTACCCCCTTCGCGCACGGATGGGAGTACCAAGATGATCTCAGGGTATGCCGCCATGATCGATCATTACACCCGAGCCGCTATTGATGGGTGGGTAACTGATAACACGGATTGGAAAGCACTCGACAACGTGAGAAAGATTGCAGGCATCTGCGTACGGTGCCTGGAAGAACATGCGGTGACAACATGACGCCGCCAAAATTACTAAGAGATCACTTGGAGAAACGACTGCAAACAACTGAAGCACCCTTTGGAAGCTACGAATTCATGCTGGGGTACGACGCCCAGCGGAAAGGGATGCCCGTCTCATTGGATGGTGAGGAAGTGTTGTTCATACCAGATCGAGACACAGACAAAGTCAAACGTGTCAGTGCAGTGTTTGCTGGTTGTGTAATGGGCCACGTGCTTCGGCCAGTTCCTACCAAATCTTCGGCGGGGTTAGATGTCAATACGAACTCTGACAAGATCATTTTACGATTGCCAACTCGCAATCTCGCCGCCTTTCTTTCGAAACTCTTCAATTCTGTACAGGGAACCCATGAAAACACCTGAAGCAATTAAAGAACATGCACCCAAGTACAAAGACCGAGCTTGGGAGGATTACACCTTCCAGGAATTGGCAGGGTGGGTGCATTTGTTCTCCAAGCGTGCGAAACACCGGAGCCCGGATGCTGCGGAGAAGATCAGAAAGGACATCACAGATGCCAAGAACTATCTGGCGATGATGCAAGCCAAGCTGGATCACGAGGCGTCTGAGATTTTGAACAGTATCGAGCCCAAGGGAGAATCAAGTTGACTCAAGTTGAAGCCGTGAAACAGATTATGTCCGATGGCGAGTGGCGATCGCTGGCCCAATTGGCAACGGCCGTCAGTGAACTGACCGGTCGCTCAGCCTCCGAAGCTGGGGTCTCGGCGCGACTACGTGACCTCCGAAAAGAGAAGTTCGGTGGTCATCATGTCGAACGCCAGAAGACCGAGGACATCTACCAGTATCGAGTTCTGATCGATACGCAGGTGTTGAACCCAATCGTCCCACCGTTGAACCTGGAAGGCACCAAGACCGAACGGACTACGTGCGGACCCGTCGCCGGTTCCAAAGAAGCTCAGCAGTATTGTGACTCGTTGAGTGGATAGGATTACACGTTACGACGTGTATCCGCTCCCGTGTGATCGAATCTACTTCGACAACAGTTTCAATTGTCGTGGTCAATTCACACTGGACTCTGTCAAGGCACTCGCAGAGAACATCGAAGAGCGTGGCCTTGACATCCCAATCGTAGTGCAACCGTCAGAAGATGTGCCCGGTGGCGTCCCCGCCGGGTACGACTGGCGGATTGTTGCGGGACACCGACGCTTTCGGGCGGTCACTTTCTTTCTGAAGTGGACTGAAATCCCTGGGTCCATCCGTGTTGGGATGGATGCACATGCTGCGCAGGTATTCAACTTCACTGAAAACCTGGAGCGGAAAGACCTCAATCCGCTCGAAGAAGCCCTCACGCTTCAGAAGCTCTATCCAGAGGGAGTGACCATCGCGAAAGCCTGTAGGGACCTGAGGAAAAGTAATACCTGGGTGGCCCAGCGTCTTATGGCACTCAAGGTGCCTAATGAAGTGCGAGAGCTTCTCGCGGCCGAGCGTGTGTTTCTCTACGACCTTCAGATCGTTCTCAAAGAAACCACACCTGAAGGGCAGATTCGGGTTGCAAACGAGATCGCCGCTTCGAAACGGGGTCGAGGCCGCAACCGTGTCTTCCGCGCAAACAAATACGTTCGGCAATATCGCCGCCGTTTGAACAAGGCGGACATGAACAAACTCATCGAAGAAATCATCTCAAGCGGCATCGACAACGAACTGGCCACCCGGGCGATCGCATGCTGTGCGGGCTACATCAGCATTGAAGAACTTCAAGAGGATATTGAGCGTGAAGCGTCTCTTCTTTGATAGTGAAACCTGTGGTCTCCACGGGATGCCGGTCCTATTTCAACATGCAGTGGATGATGGACCAATCACACTCTACGACGTCTGGAAAGAACCAGTCTGGAAAACCCTCGAACTCATTGAGTGGTACCTAACCCACCAGATGGTGTTCTTCAACGCCAGCTTCGACTTCTTTCACATCGTGAAGTGCTACACGATCTGGAGGTTACTGCCGAAGGACTGGATTCCAGAACAGCACATCAATGAAATTGCGATGATGGAAGGTAAGGGGCAAGACGGCCCTGCGCTGAAACCCGTCAGCACTCTCGATCTGATGCTGCACTCCCGTAAGGGACCGTATCAGACGCTCATGGGTCGGAAAGATATCCGCATCCGTCGAGTACCTACAGCCCTGGCTTACGCACTTGCCGACGAACTCGAACAACGTGTCGAGATCGACGGCATTTACTTTGCGCGCACCCATGACAAAGACGCACCGCGTTGGCAGGTATTCGACATCAAGAAGCGTGATGGCAACATCGACAAACACTTCAAAGACGTCGTGCTGAAGTTCGCCCCGGCAGGCGGTCTGAAGTTCCTGGCCGAACATGCCTTAGGCGTGAAACCCAAGTATCACTTCAAGGACGTCGAGTTGGATCGATCGTTCTGGCCTAAGGAACTCGGCTGGGCTCCGACGGCCTTGAAGGTCTCCAATCCAGATCGCGAATGGAAGGTTTTCAAGAAGGAACGCGACCGACATGGCAATCGCAAGCTCGCCGGCTTCGCCTGGCCTGGTGTAATCCAGCACCACATCGACCACTGGGCGTACAACCTACCAGCCCGCGAGTACGCCACCGACGATATCGTCTACACCCGCGGACTGTGGGAACACTTCGATCGCCCCGAAGGTGACGACGATGACTCGGTATTGGCCTGCATGGTGCCTGTTGTCCGTTGGCACGGTTTCCAGATCGACCGTAAGGGTATGAAGAAGCTGCTGCGACGAGCCAAGGCCGTCGTGGACGCATCGCCCATCAATATCAACAAGCCGAGGGAAGTCCGTGCCTACCTCAGTGAGTACATGGATGAGAACGAGCAGTTGATCATCGAAGCCTCCACGAAGAAGGCCAACATCACGGCTGTATCTAAGTGGGAGGTTGAAGCACCCGAGGACTGCTTCAAATGCAACGGTGAAGGTTGCACCCGATGTGAAGGCACCGGTGTGATGCAACCTCGTGGACCTGTGACTGAGGAACGAGGCAATCACCCCGCAGCGATTCGCGCCAAGCAACTGTTGGATATCAAGGTCGCTGTTAAAGAGGTGGAGCTTTACAAGAAGCTGATCAAGGCCGGTAAGTTCCACCCAGCGTTCACCGTGATTGGAACCCTGTCCTCACGTATGTCGGGTACTGGCTCGGGCGGTCTGAATGCACAAGGTATTAAGGGCACCAAGGAAGTGCGGCGGATGTTCCCACTTGCGTGGGAGGACCGCATCTTGTGCGGCGGTGACTTTGACAGCTTCGAAGTGACGCTGGCCGACGCAGTCTACAACGACCCTGACTTGCGCAAGGCCCTCACAACGAAGGTGGATTGCCACAAGTGTAACGCCACTGGAAAAGCCAAAGGCGGTGCCTGCGAAGAGTGCAGTGGCTCGGGCAAGACCACCAAGAAGATTCACGCACTGTTCGCAATGTGTCTCTTCCCGGGACACACCTACGAGCAGATTGCCGCTTCGTCCGGTAGCGACAACGACATGTATACCAAGGGTAAGCAAGGTGTCTTCGCCATGGTTTACGGCGGTGACCACAACACCCTGGTGAGGAACCTTGGTGTTGACGTCGATGTCGCCCAAAAAGCGTTCGACACCTGGAACAAGTGGTTCCCGCAAGCAGCCAAAGCTCGGGAGAGAACGTTCAAGGCATTCTGTTCGATGTCACAGCCAGACGGCACACACGTCGTGTGGCGAGACCCTGCCCCTTACGTAGAGTCGTTCCTTGGCTTCCGCCGGGACTTCAGTTTAGAGAACCGTATCACCCGTGTCCTATATGACTTGGCACGTAAGGTCCCTTCAGCATGGCGTAATTGCCCTGTGAAGGTTGTCCGCCGTGACCGTGTTCAGACGGCCGGCGGTGCGGTCGCTTCTGCCTTGTATGGGGCGGCGTTCCAGATACAAGCGGCAAACCAACGTGCGGCGGCCAACCACGAAATTCAATCTCCCGGCGGGACGATCACGAAGTACGTTCAACGAAGAATCTGGGACTTACAACCTGCCGGCGTTCACGAACTCTTCGTGAGCGTTATGAACATCCACGATGAATTGATGTCCGTCACTCACCCCGATTATGTGGAGCCAGTGGCCGAAGTTGTGGAAGAGTCGGTGAAGCACTACCGCTCGCAAGTGCCTCTGTTGGGCATGACCTGGAATAAGGAAATGGCGAACTGGGCCGAGAAGAAGGGTGGTGCTGTGACCTTAAAGATTCAGCCACCTGAACTTCGGATGGCAGCGTAAAAGCTGAAAGAAATCTGGAAGAAATGGGCAACATCAAGCGTAATAAACATGGACCTGAATGGTACATCCAACGGGACCTGAAACAGTACCTGAAAGATCGTGGCTGGATCGTTGAGCAGACTCACGGAAATCGTTTTCAAACCGGCTTCCCTGATCTGTATGTGATTCACAAGCGACACGGGTACCGTTGGATCGATTGCAAGAATCCAGGCCGCTATACCTTCACCCAAGCCCAAAGAATCAAATGGCCCATCTGGAGTGATGCGGGTATTGGCATCTGGATTCTGACTGCCGCCAATCAGGAACAATACGACCTTCTCTTTCACCCTCCGAACTGGCAACAGTTCTGGAACCCCGCCTGGGGAGACCTCCCCGACATTGATGCTCTTCTGGACTCCCTAGAAGAGTAATCCACCCACCTATATGAAATTCCAACGCAAGCCCAACCGCTGGTCTTGCCTCGTGACTTCGTTCGCGATGGCAATGGACCTACCCGTCGAAGAACTCATCCGAGAAATCGGTCACGACGGTTCAGAGATCATCTCTGATCTACCTGAGCCAACGTGCCGCCGTGGTTTCCATCCACAAGAGTGCATCCAAGTTGCACTGAAGCGTGGGTTCTCTGTCACTCCCATCGAATTATTCCCTCGCATTATCAACCCTGCCGGTGAGGACATTGTTGTTCTCTACGACGGTAAGGAAGAGATGAATTGGCTGGCTTTCCGCTGGGCTATTGGCTTCGGCCGGGGAGTGATGGAGTGCAGGACGAGTGGCGGTAAGGGGCATGCGGTTGCCTACGACCACAACACCATTCTCGACCCCGACTTCGGGGAGGAACCCTACACCAATGCCTCCCTACTTCGTCGCGGTCTGTACTCAGTCTCTCTCTGGCAAATGAACAGAATCGGATGATCAATCAAGAGTTAATCCAGGACATGGCAAACAACGGCCCGGCGGCCACCAAAGAAATCAATCAACAACTTTATGAACGACTGCGAACCGGAGATGCCACGGCCCGGGACGAAATGATCACAGCCAACATGCCGTTAGTGATCGCCATTGTCAGTGATTACGTGGAAGCATTTCCCAAAGCATCCCACCTCACAGACGACTTGGTCAGCGAAGGAATGCTGGCGCTCTGTGAATCCGTTGACAAGATTTCTAACGGCCACAATTGCCAGAACCCATCAGGTTGGTTAGGTGCCTGCATCGGTGAAAAGATCGGCAAGATCATGGATCAGGAACAACTGATTGGGTCCACACGAACACGAAGACGTGCTCGCAAGGACAACAAAGATATGCCCGAGCGGGTCTTCGAACTGCCGGACAATCCTGACCATCACGACCCAGTCAGCATGCTCGAACTCCGCGAAGAGATCAACGCATGTTGTGAGTCGGATGAGGACTACATGATCGTCGAATTGCGTGAGAAGGGACACACCGATACGGACATCGCCAAGCAACTCGATATGCCGTACACGACGACCTACATGCGACGTCGTGCGATTTACAAACGATTCCTTGAGCGAACCGAGATGCGAGGCGAAGTGTGATTAAGCGAATTCTGCTCGATATCGATGACGTCTGTAACGAGTGCTCGAAGTACGCACTCCAGTGGTTAGGCGTCCCGTTCGACTATGACAACTTCTACGAGAAGTATCCCACCGAGTTGGGCTATCAGATCGTTGAAGTTGCCAATCGGGCATTGGGATACAAACGATTCGATGTTCCCGGCTTCTGGAACATGATCCCCCAGCAGTTCTGGGCAACCTGCCCTGCGACTGCGGAATTCACCAAAATCTTCGACCGCTGTTGCCAACTGGTTGGTTGGCAAAACGTCTGCTTCTTGACCGGACCCACGAAGGACCCCGGTTGTTTGGCTGGAAAGCTGGAGTGGATTCAGAAGAACGCTCCACCTTCGATGCACCGCCAGTACATCATCAGCCCCCGAAAGCACTTCTGTGCCCATCCTGAGGCTCTGTTGATCGACGACAACCCTCGGAACATCGCCGATTTCAAGGCTTGGGGCGGCCACGGAATTCTCGTCCCACGGCCGTGGAATGAAAACCACGGAATCAATGTACTCGACCACGTTCTATCTTCTCTCGACTCCTATGAAAGGGTCAATCAATGCGTAACGCGCTCTTGCTGATCTTCATCGTTGTTTCGGTGGCGACGTTGGCGGCCGATCGATATGTCACCGTGCAATTCATGGAGGAATGTCAGCGAGAAAACAATCACAACACGCAGGAACTCGCCTACATCAAAGAAGTGTTGTCCGCTCAGATTCGTTACGAACGCCTAGTGACGGTTTCGAGCTACCTGGCTGAACAGAACAAAGAACTCAAAGACGCCGGAATGAATCTGTTCAAAGCCTATCAACAAGAGTTGATGTTGAACCTGAAACTGCAATCGCAGCTTCACAAACACGGATTGGAAATTCCAGAGAAACAGGGAAGAAACCCTGACCCCGAGACGTAATAAACACATGAAACGACGCGAATTCCTCCAACTGGCCCATACCTACCGGCCGGGCAAAGACAACATCAATGGTCACTACATCTCTGAGAAGCTCGATGGAAGTCGGTGCTTCTGGGACGGTGGGCTCACCCGCGGAATGAAGACCAAAGACGTTCCGTGGGCCTCGGTCACCGACCCGAAGACTGGTAAGCCCAAGAAGAAGATCAAGCCCATCGCCACAGGGCTCTGGAGCCGATATGGCAATCCGATCATGGCCCCAGACTGGTTTCTGAATTCACTCCCTGTCTGTCCGCTGGATGGTGAACTGTGGGCTGGGCGTGGGACCTTTCAACTGTGTCGCTCGATCTGTGCGGGTGACACACCAGACCCACGATTCAACCAGATTCAGTTCGCTGTGTACTCCTCACCACCTTTGGACAAGTTGTTCCAAGACGGTGAGATCAAGAACTCGAATTTCCATTGCGAGTTGCGGCAGGCAGAGATCGAGGAATTTGTCTTCAACCGCATGGAGCATGTCCCTGGTTTCAAGTACGTGCAGCCGGGCAGCACTTTCGATGGAGAGTTACTGTTCCTGCGTGACAACCTTGAAACCCAAAGCCGCTGCTACCTGCATCGGCAAGTAAAGCTAACTGGCCACGACCACGTTGAGCAGTTCCTGCAAGACGTGCTCGACCAAGGCGGTGAGGGAGTGATCCTCCGTGACCCGGGCTCCTATTGGACGCCTAAGCGTCACCGCGGAATCCTGAAATACAAGCCTTATGACGACGCCGAAGCCAAGATCATAGGATTCCGCGCGGGTAAAAAAGGCAAGCAAGGGAATGTCTTAGGCAAGATTGGCACACTCATAGTACAGACCGTGAGTCTCAAGAAGAACGTAACTTTCGAGATTGGCTCCGGATTAACACTCTTGGAGCGTGAGATAAACGACCTAAAGACCTCTGAATGGGCATGCGAAAACCCAGGAGAAGTGATCCCCGACCCGAAGGGGAAGATGACGCACTTCGATTGGGGCGACATCGTGACGTTCAAATTCAGGGAACTTTCTGATGACGGTGTACCGAAGGAAGCACGCTACTTCCGGAAGCGAAATGAATGCTGAACAGTGGAAGCCAGTCGTGGGGTTCGAAGGCTGGTATGAGGTAAGCAACCAGGGTCGTGTGAGGTCTGTCGATCGCCAAATTAAAGGGAAGGCATACAGTTCTCGTATCCTATACCAAGGGGTTATAGGTTCAGGGTACAGAACCGTAAACCTCTACAAAGCCGGTAAGCGAACAACAAGGACAGTTCATTCATTGGTCGCGGAAGCATTTATAGGTAAGAGACCTTTAGGTGCTGATATATGTCATGGCCTGAATGGTGTGTCGGATAACAGTCCTTCAAATCTTCGTTATGGGACTCGAACAGAAAACCTAAACGAGAAGAAATTACACGGAACAGAGCAGCTAGGCGAGAAACATTGGAACAGCAAGCTGACTGTATCTGGTGTGAAGCAAATCCGAAAAGCGAGTAAACGTGGTGCCTCCAATGTATCCCTAGCGAACCGCTTCTCCGTTTCGCCTACAACAATCAGCAACATAGTTAATCACAAAGTATGGAAACATGTCCCATGCTGAAGCAACCTCGCCTAGGGATCATCATCGTGACCCTCTGTTGGTTAGCGGTGGTCTGGTTCCACTACAACCCAGTTCAAAAGTCAAACGAATGTTCGAACGAAGCGACAGTGAGTTCCTTAGTGAGGCGTGGTGGTACGGCGTCTACGCCTTAATCATTGGTGTGGCAATCGTGGCTGCATTCAACCTGAACATCCAAGACAAGCCAGCAACGAGTGAGAAGCAATGCGTAAAGCAGTAATTGGCGTTTGTGCCCTCGTTGCCGCATTCATTTGCTTAACGCTGTTTGGAATTTACGCCAGCGTTACGGCTGCACTGATCATCCACAGCCGAGCCGAGTGTTGCGGGCAGAGTGAACCCACTCTTCACCGCAATGGCGACGTTGTCACCTACCACGGTGCGACAGCCGTGGTTATCGAGTCAAGAGGGGGCGACGTCGTGATCCTTGTCGCTGTCTCGCTAAGTGATTTGCAAGGAAGAATTATTGGGAGGACGGGTCAGTACCTTCTCGTACCTTCAAGCAGCCTGCGGCCGTCTCTAACAAGACCGCCTGATGATGTTCCTAGGCACGGACGTATCAAGAGAATTCCAACCCAAGGACTTAACTAATGCCTAAGAGAATCTACAGGGCAGCATTCGAACTCATTGGTGTGATCTTCGTTGCTTTCGTTTTACTAGCTGTGGGTGGCTTCATTCAGTATTGCAATTCACGACCACCTCAGACCGCCCTCCGCTCGAAGCTCGTCACCTCTGAAACCAAGCTCGTGCAAACGCACGGTGCCACACTCATCGCCATCCCGCTGGAAGTGTATAGCCACAGCGGCGACCTAGTCTGTGAATCAACTCTCTACTTACCCCCTGTCAACAAAGAACCACTCGGAGAAGAACCTTGAACATTGCGTTGCGAGCGTTCGTCGCTCTCATTGTCATCATCGCCTGTTGCTATGGATTTACCTACCTGATCGAACATCAATCGCCCAAGTTCAAAGTCGGTGATGCAGTCGAATTCGATGGCAAAATCGCGCGTGTGGTCTCAATCGCGCCAAAAAACCGCATCCGCATCGAAGTGCCGGTCACGGTCATCATCCCCAACCCGACCAAGTTCGGTCCCCGCCACATACAAGCCCATCTGCTTCAGTATGTGCTTGCCCACCCCAAAGAACTCACAGACCCAACAAAGGAAACCAATGAACCAGTATGTGCTGTCATACGCACGACCAATCAATCAGCGATTTCCCAGCGAACTCGTTCTGATCGAGAAGAAGAAGCCAGCATGGCAACTCGGGAAGTTGAATCTCCCCGGTGGCAAGATCGAGAACGGCGAGACAGCGGAACAAGCAGCCTGCCGCGAGCTACTGGAAGAGACGGGCATCGAAGCCTCGGAAGTGGATTCGAAGTTCATCGGGAATCTCTTTGGACGAGATTGGATAGTAACTGTCGTGGAGTGCCCTTACCGGCCTGGTCAAACGCCTCAGAGCATTACCGACGAAGAAGTCGTGAAGCTGGATTACCTGACAGCGCTGCAAGACCCGCGGCTGATCGAGAACCTCAAAGTCATCCTGCCGCTGTGTATGGCGAATGTTAAGGGCTGGCGTATGGATGACTACTGCTGGCAGAACCGTTACGAAGTCCATTTCTGATGAACCTTCACACCACACAGGAAGAGTTGGAGGAAATCAAACGACACGAAGCTGTCTGCATCCATGAGTACCACTACGAGAATGCTGAAAGCTCAGCCATGATCTATCGGTGTGGAACTCTCGAAGAAATGGAAGCTGAAGCCAACCGTCGTCAAACCCTAGCTGTTCCTACCGTTGTCAAAAGCCTCACCGCCCGAGCCCTCCTAGTTTCTGAACTAGGAATCAACTAGCTCACCCATCTCTTCTCCCGCCTCTCTTCTCTCCCTTCCTCACACGCGCAACCCCTGCGCTCCCGGTACGCAATGAGCACACTGTTCGTCGAGATCGTTGAAATCTCGGAAGTCATCCCGCACCCCAATGCTGACCGACTGGAAATTGCCAAAGTCCTTGGGACTCAGGTAGTTGTCGCCAAGGATCAGTTCGTTGGCGGTCAGAAAGCGGTTTACTTCCCGCCTGACATGTTGATCGCTAACCAAATCGCCAATGACCTTGGGGTTGCGAAATACCTCAAGCACGCGATCTTCCCCGGTGACCTACATCGCACGCAATGCCGAGTTGCTGGCTGCCGGCTGCGTGGTGTCCCGTCCTTTGGGTTCCTTATCCCTAATGACGACTTTGCCCTCACACCTGTCGGTGTGAACGTCAGCGACTACTACAACGCCGTGAAATATGAGCCGCCTGTCCGGCTCTTCCGCGGTGGTGGGGATCGGATGCCGGATCATCCGTCCTTCCACAAGTACACCAGCATCGAGCACTTCTGGCGTAATCGCACAGCCATCCCGGAAGGGATGGACGTGGTAATCACCGAGAAGATTCACGGCACGAACGCACGGTTCGGATCGATCGGCCGCATCGCGATGGTTGGCTCCCACAATGTGCGACTCAAAGAGAGCGAGAAGTGCCTGTGGTGGAAGATGCTCTCACCCAACATCGTCGAGCTACTCCGCAGCTTCGATCGGAATGTGATTCTCTTCGGCGAGATTTACGGCGAAGGCATCCAGGACATGGACTACGGAGCGGGCGGTCATAAGTTCCGCGCCTTCGACCTGTCGATCGACGGTGAATACATCGACTTCTGGAAGATGGTGGAGATCACCCAAGGCTTCGGAATCGAGAGCGTACCAGCCCTTTACCGAGGTCCATTCTCTCGCGACATCCTTGAAGAGCTAACCGATGGATACACATCCATCGAAACGCCGAGCCACATCAAGTCCAAGTTCAAGGGCCGCGAGGGTGTCGTCGTACGCCCCACCACCGAGCAATTCAGTGACGTCCTAGGTGGGCGTCTGATTCTCAAGTCCGTCTCCGCAGACTATCTCGATCGTAAAGGTGCTCAAGACAACTAATGTACGAATTGAAACGACGCCCCCAGTCCCTCAGCCACAGTGCCTTTCGCAAGTTCGAATCGGACCCTGAGGAATACTTCCTACAGTACCTGGCCGCCAACCGCCCGGCCCGTCAAGCACAGCCGAACTACATGGCGATTGGATCGGCTTTCGATGCGTACGAGAAAGCCGAATTGCATGCCGCCCTGTTCGGTGCTGGTAGCAACCCCGAGTTCGAATTCCAAACGATCTTTGAACAACAGGTCGAGCCCCACAACCGTGACTGGGCGATCAAGGCCGGTAAGCACGTCCAAGAAGCCTATAAGTTCTCCGGCGCACATGATGACTTGTTGGGCTTGCTGCACAAGTCCATTGAATCGCCCCAGTTCGAGTTCGGTGTCGAAAAGGAAATCGACGGAGTGCCTCTCAACGGTAAGCCCGACTGTCGGTTCGTGCTCCCTGGTGATGACGGTCGAAAGGTCCATGTGATTCTGGACTGGAAGGTTAAGGGCTTCTGTTCAAAGCACGCGACCAGCCCATCCAAGGGTTATGCCCTCTGCCGTGACGGTTACGAAGCGGCCAAGCCGTCTCGCAGCCATGGGAAGGAACACAACCAATACCTGGCGTACAACCACCACGGACTCATCATCAACACGAGTTACCTGGAAGCCTCCAAGCCAGAATACGCCGACCAGACCACGATGTATGGCTGGCTGTTGGGTGAAGAAGTGGGTGATGAAGAAGTCGTCATGGGTATTGACGAGATCGTTGCCAAGCCCGCAGAGCCTTGGCCGATGCTTCGTGTCGCCAACCATCGTGCCCGTGTCAGCAAGGGCTACCAACTTGAACTGATGCGACGTCTCCAACGCTGTTGGAAAGCAATCACCACAGGTCACATCTTCCCTGACATGACGGTTGAAGAAAGCGATGCCCGTTGTGAAATCCTCGAAAACATGGCCGCCGGTTTGAAGTCAGCCGGTGAGGAAGACGAATACTTCAACGAAGTCACACGCACCATCAAGAACTACTAATGATTACCCGCAGAATTTCATACCAAACAGACCTTCAACACCTGGTTGACATCGATCTGAAATGCTTCGAGTTAGCTTGGTCCGCAGAAGAATGGGCCGAAGCTCGCATCCGAGACACGGTAACGGTGTTGTCCAACTACGGTGACCCGATTGGCTTCATCGCCCTGCGAGGTGTGGAAGATGCCGCCGAGATTCGCAAAGTGGCGATCAAGAGTCGCTACCGCAAACAGCAGTTGTCCTACCAACTGATGGAAAGCGCAATTCTGTTTGCAAGGCAAAAGCGATTCAATTCGATCTTCATCATCATCCCCGAGGCCATGATCGAGACCGTCGGACCTTGGCTGGCCAAATTCAATTTCACAGCCAAGAAACCGATCATCCGGGATGCGTTCCACGCCTATGGCAAGCCCGAGAACGGAGTGAAATTCGTATGTCGCCTATAGAGAAGCTGCTGGAGGGTTGTAAGAACATCGCCGCCGCTATCGGAGTCGATGTTAGCGTGGAGATCACCGGCAGTCACGAGGATGGATTCGACTTAAAGAAGTTCCGGGAAGGGACTGGGCAAGTAACTGACGCAATCTTTGAAATGCGAGATCATGTTGGACCATCTTCTAAGTAACGACCTATTCGCTGGTGGTGCGATTCTCATGGTGATGGGAGCCGCAATGCACTACTGCAAAGCCATCCCAACGCGAATCTGGCGGTACGTCAAGACTCGATTCATCCTCGAACTTGACGTACCCGACCGAGAAGAAGCATACCAGTGGATCAACCATTGGCTGGCTGAGCAGCCGTACAGCCTCAATCGCGCACGATTGCTCACGGTCGTGACCGGTAAGACACGCCGGCGAGACCCTGATGAAGAATCAGCCAAGTTCATCTTGTGTCCTGCACCCGGCAATCACTGGTTCTTCTACAAGAATCGCCTTGTCCGCCTGTTTCGGGAACGCAAGGATGATGCCGGTGAGGGCAAAATAACGATGGGGATTCGAGAGAACTTTACCATTCAGATGTTCTCCCGTAACCGAGAGTTGGTGAAAGAGTTGCTTTTGGAGGCCCGCGAATCTTTCCACCCTTCCAAGAAGAGCCATACCAAAGTCTACGTCAACAGTCACTACGACTGGGACCTGGCTGCGAAGAAGCGGAAACGTCCGATTGACTCCATCATTCTGCCGAACGGACTGATGGAGGAATTGATCGGTCGCGTGCAACGATTCAAGGATCAAGAGAGTTGGTATCACGATTGCGGGATTCCCTATCGATTGGGCATTCTGCTTGAAGGTCCTCCAGGCTCAGGCAAAAGCAGTGTGGTATCAGGGCTTGCGTCACACTTCGACATGGACGTGGCTACTTTGAACTTGGCTTCGGGCTTCATGGAGGATGCCAACCTCCAGTCGCTTCTCACCAACCTCCCACACAACTCCATCCTGCTGATCGAAGACATTGATTGTGTCTTCCATGCCCGTGAGAAGAAGGAAAAGTCTGGGGCTGGAGTAACCTTCAGTGGGTTGTTAAACGCAATCGACGGTATTTCCGCGGGTGAGAAGCGCATCCTCGTGATGACGACCAACCACCCCGAGAAACTCGACCCGGCACTCATTCGGCCGGGGCGGGCTGATATCCGGTATCGCATCGATCACCCATCTCACGAACAAGTCAGCCGCCTCTACGAGCGATTCTATGGTAGTAGCGGCAATGAGTTCGCTAGTGCCATCAAGCACTTCGATCGCACCAGCATGGCTGCCCTGCAAGGACACTTCACCCGGTACAAGGACCGACCCAAGAAAGCGTTAAAACGAGTGAATGAGGTCTACCATGTACCGATTGATTAACGGCGACTGCTTGGAAGTTACCGAGAACTGGGCACACCAGGAATTCGACTGCGTATTCGCAGACCCGCCCGATGGAATCGGCCTCGCTTACGACGAGTTCAATGACAAGATTTCGGAAGCTGATTACCGAGTATTACTCGCAAGGTGGTTGGAGCGTTTCTGTGAACTCGCGCCGACTGTGTGGATCAGTTTCAACGCACGCTGGACAGCGATCTTTGGTGGGATCGTTGACGAGTTCCTGACATTGAACCCTGATTGGGATTTCAAGCCATTCGTTCAAGTCTTCACATTCGGACAGAACTGCAAGACTGACTCGGGGAACGGCCATCGACCACTCTGGCGATTCATGCACAAGCATGCACCCCTCTACCCCGACGCCATTAAGGTGCCTTCGTGGCGTGAACTAAACGGCGATCCGCGGGCGGCCAAAGGTGGTCGAGTCCCGCTCGACTTCTGGGACTTCCCTCGGGTAACCGGCAACTCCAAACAGCGTCGGAAGTGGCACAAGACACAACTCAACGAGGGCCTTGTAGAACGTGCCCTCAAGATGACCACCAAGGAAGGTGACAGGGTTCTCGACCCGTTCGGCGGGACAGGCACGACTATGCGTGTCTGCAAACGCATCAAACGCCAATGCACGCTGATTGAGATCAGCAGTGGTTACTGCGACCACATCGCGGAAGAACACGGGTTAAAGGTGGCCGCATGATCGTTATCAAAGTCGAATTGTGGCCCTTTGGTGACGAAAGTAGGGCCAAAACCCTCGGTCAGGGTCACATCTATAACGATGCTTCCGGTTCTTCCACTCGTGGCAATTATAAGGTCCGCCTGTTCGATGCCGCTGGCCGGCAATGGAAGCAAGGCGAAGTCAAGAACTTCCCTCGCAAGCGTCTGCTGGGTTGGGACCTTCTCTACCGAGCTTTGGAAAATCTGATTTCCGATCGGAAATAGGGAAGAAGACGGTTCTGGTTTTCGTTGAAGGGTAAGACCACTTCAACATGGGAGACAGAACCAATGGTCACCGCATCGCATCGTATCGATCCTAAGCAACTGACCGACGTCCTCAAGAAGCATGGAATCTCACCGGACTTCCACGCTCAATTCCAAACCCTTGTTGACCTGGGTGTGGTTGAAGACAACCGCTTCAAGGTCCGTCTGGAAGCCTGCCTGAACTACCAGGAAGCGCTGCAAGACCTTCTCACAATTCTTTCCGGGCCAATCGCCCACCTATTCGCACCCAAACTGGAGAAAGCAGCATGATCCATGACTTCATGGGCCGTGAAATCAAGGCCAACGACACGATCGTCTACCCCGTCCGCCGTGGTTCCGAGATGTGGATGTGTGAAATGCGAGTGACGCAAGTCACCAAAGACTACATCAAGGGCTACAACCCCACCGGCCGCATCAACACGATTCGCAACCTCAAAAACGTCGTGAAGGTTGAGCCCCGAGCCCTTACTGAAGGCGAATGATGGCCAAGTACCCAGTAATCAGTAGCGACCCCGAGATTCAGAAGCAATACGTTCAGCTTCGCAAGAAGGGCAACACGCATGTGTTCGCGGAAATGTGTGCCCTCCGAAAGCCGCCCCGTTTTCGTGACACGTATTCGCCCATGCACCCACGACGTGGGAGGGGTCAAGGCGGTCCCCGATGACTTCCGACTTCGATCTGTTCTTGGCTGGAGTGCTGGTCGGTGTGTTACTCGGCGTAGCGATCATGCAAATGTTCAGCGGTCACTCTGAGTCAAAGGAAGAGCAACCAGAGTCACCGCACGAGTCCGGCTTCGTGGAGTGCTTTATCTGCACCCACAGGTGGGTTGCCGTGCGGCCACGAGGAACCCAAGACCTTCAATGCCCATCATGTGGAGCGAAAGATTCAATATGTGGCTGAAACGCATAAATGATCAACATCGAAGAGACTTCCGTGGCGAATTTGAGTGCGAAAACTGTGGAGCCGTCGAGAGCAAGTCGGGTTATGACGATCGGAATTTTCACGAGAACGTCACACCGGCAATGCAATGCAAGTCGTGCGGAGAATCGACCAACTCGCTAGATAGCCAGGTTCAACCAGTCGAGACCAGACACTCCGAAGGTGACGTCGTATGAGCAACGATCGCTACCAATTCCAGCCCTGGTACATCAAGACCTACCGCTGGCTTCGTTGGCGTCCAGTGTTCGCACTGAAATTCCTGTGGTGGTTGATCCTCTGGGGAAGCGATGGGTTCACACAGCCGCCAGGATACGGGGACGTGTTCCGTGGTAGGCAAAAGTGGAGTCGGTACTGGCACCTCAAGCACTACTGGACCATGTCCATCTCCATGGCTCAACAAAAAATGAAGCACTACCACACTACAGAAGAAATCATCTATGCACTTCGCACGAAAGAAGATTCGAGGGCAGCACGCCAAGACGGCTAAGACCTGGTTCTCCGAGTGCGGGCACTACCGCATCACTTGGAAGTCCGAGGTTGAGGGCGTGCAAATCATTCCGTGTTACCACGCATGCGTGAGAGTAGTAGGAGAACGCTGGGATTTCGTGGGCCGCAGGGGTACTTACCGAACGTTGAACGCTGCCAAGAGTGCTTGCGAAAAGCATTTCAAGGTTTGGGGCGACTGTCTGAGTCGCGCAGCGGGTCCGTACAAGGGCCGGGCCGACGCAATACGAGCGATGGCACTGAAGTCACGAGCCGGAAAGGGCGTCGAAACATCTACGATGTTGGCTAACCTCCCTGTGTGGGTTGAGGCTGAGGCCGACTCTGAAGTCTTGGAGACAGTGAAAGAAATCTTATGGCCCCAAAAGAACCGAAATGGCCGTGGCGTGACCTCGAAGACTTCCGAATCGGAGTCTTCGACTACAAGTCCAACTACCGAAGGCTCAACCCAGACGTCTGGCCCTGCCTACGATGCGGAGCCCACGGATACACCACCAACAATCAACTCAGCTTCTGCTACTGCCCTGAGTGCCGAATCCCAGGAAAGGATCGATGCACCGGTGAAGGCACCAAAGAAGCGTGCGAAGCGGAGTACAACCGCCGGCTCAAAGCGTACGAAGAAACGAAAGAAGACTACGAAAAACTAGTAGCCGCACACGACGCAGCACTTGAAAAACTGACCGGCGAAGAATTGAAAGCAGTCAAGGCATTTTCGTGATCGAAGAACTGAAAACCCTTCTCGAACCTGACTTCTCGAAACGGTATGAGCCCAATGAATGGCCGTGCCTCAAGTGCTGTGGTTCAGGGTTGTCTGAGTCTTCTCGTTGGTCAACGTGCCAAGAGTGTAAGGGGACGGGCAAGGGTAAATGAACCTCGAAGAATACTTCAAAGAGGCGCAACGTCGCCAGATGGACCACCTCGAAGAAGCAGCCGAAATCAAGTCACTGACTGCAAAATATGAGGCTGCTGAAGCCTTACAGAAGTTTGAGACGGCCAAGCTACAGCACCATCGTATGAAGACAGCCTGTCGCCCCTGCATGATGCTTCCCACAACCATCGAACAAGAGGAAGAAGGTTTTTCCGTTTCATACGGAAACCTGATTGCTTACGGAAGCAGTCCCGAGATTGCTTGCCAGAATTTCGACCGACTTTGGACTCAAGGTGAACAATGAGTTGCAGAAACAAATTCATAGATTCGTTGCGGGTATGCTCCGAATGCAACGTAGCCAGGGATCAGTATGAATTTAGTGGGTGTCCTCTGAAACAAACCGAAAAGACTCCAACACCTCGCACGCCCTACTTCTCGATTGACATTGAGACCACCGGCCTCGACCCCGAATGGTGCCAGATTCTTGAATTCGGTGCCGTGTACGAAGACTGGGAAACGCCAGTCGATAAGCTGCCGTCGTTCCACGCCTACATCGTACATGAACGCATCGTCGGTATGCCGTACGCCTTGCAGATGCACCCAGAAATCTTGAAGAAGATCGCTGAACGCCATTTGCACCTTGACTGCAAGTTCCTCAAGCCTGTTGACCTTTTCGACGAATTCAACGTCTGGCTATGGGACCTATCGAAGACTCACAAGGATGCGTTCGATAGCAGACGAATCAACGTTGCTGGAAAGAACTTTTCTGGCTTCGACCTCCAATTCCTGAAAAAGCTGCCTGGAAACTGGGACCTCATCCGACATCGGGTGATCGATCCGGGGACTCTCTTCTGGAACCCGGATGAAGACAAGGAATTGCCAAACACACAAGAGTGTTTGACCCGTTCCGGCGCAGTTAGTTGGGTTGCCCATACGGCCGTGGAAGACGCTCGACAAGTCATTGAACTGATTCGAGGTGCCTTCCGTTGATCTACTACTCGCAGCCGGCGACCCGCCAGGACGAGTGGGTGATCGAGCGGACCGATGGTCTGCGGGATGGATTCTTTGTGGAAGTGGGCGCACACGATGGGGTCCGCCACAGCAACACCTTGACACTTGAGAAAGAGTTCGGCTGGACCGGAATCCTCATCGAAGGTGACCCACGATTGCACAAGAGGTGCATGATATACCGACCGAACTGTAACAACATCAATACCATTGTCGGCCCTGGGTACGGCGAAGGTCTGTTTATCCTTGGGGATCAGTTCGGCGGGCTTTGGGAGCATATGCCAGAGAACTGGCAGAAGGAACACCGAAGCCGATCGACACCGGTTGTGGATTGCGAGACCAAGCCGCTAATCGATGTACTTCGCAATCGGACGCCACCCGTCATCGATTACCTAAGCATTGACGTAGAAGGGGCTGAGTATGAAATCCTCAAGTCGTACTTCGAGTCCCGAGCACTGAAGCCGACGGTGCGTTATATGACAGTCGAGTTCCGGCTAGACAAGCACTACCTAGACAAGCTGATTGAACTTCTTGACCCGTGGTTCGAGCTTGAAGAAGTGAGAGCCTGGGACGCCTGCTTCGTGAATAGGACACTCGGTTAATGCTAGAGCAAACCTACACGCCTCAAGAGGTGGCCGAAAGCCTAGGGATCAGTCGGCGTAAGGTGGTCGGATGGATTCGCAGGGGTGAACTAAAAGCCGTCAACGTAAGTAATGGGCCAAATCCCTGCCACCGAATAAAACTGAGCGACCTGGCGAGCTTCGAAGAACTTCGTTCTACGCGAAAATCGCCTAACAAGCGGAAGAGTCGTCCTCAGCAGACGCCACGAGAATACATATAGTTTCACGATCCCCAGGGAAAATCTGATGGTGTTTCTATAGATTCAGGTGTACCTAGGCACCTTAGGATTGAAGTAATCACAGGCTCGAACACCCACTCTCGAACGTGGCTCACCACATTGAGCAAACGACGATCGAATAGGTATTGTCGGTAGACGGCGGACATGTCTGATTGTTTAGGAGCATGCCCCATGATTGCACTAGTGGCAATGGCATCAACTTCCTCACCTATTGTTTGTGTAGCGCGTCTGAATCCATAGAAACTACGGCCGTGGTGATGGATACCCAAGCTCTTTGACAACTTTGTCAATTCCTTACTAAGCGGCCTGTCGTTGTCCGGATCAAAGCGGTTGCCTTTAGCGGTCAGAAATACCAGACCGCTGCTCGGTGCGGGTAACGCATCCAATGTCTCGGGCCACAGAGGTACTCTCCGAGCGATCCCAGTCTTGGGCCTAGGGAAGTTGATCCAACCTTTTTGGACCATCGACCACTTCAGCCTGGCACAGTCGGACGGGCCGAATGCGCAATTGCAACCCAAGAGGATCATGGCCCTCAGCTTCGGGTTGGCAGCGTCCAACAAGGCAATAATCTCTTCCGGCTCGAACATCATCGAGCCCTTCTCGGCCCTGGCCTGTCTCAGCTTTGTCTGGCTGGGCTTCTTCCACTTCTGCCCATACCTGGGTGGCTGATCGATAATCTCTTGATCGACGCCCCACTTGAACATCGTGCGGACGCGGCTGATGTCGTTGAGGATGCTCACGGGGCCGCGGGTCTTGGCCAGCTTCTTACGGACCTTAGCGAAGTCTTGTGGGGTGAGGCTCTCGACCGTGCGGTACTTGCTAATGTGCTTGGTGAATCGTTGGCAGGCTTCCTTATAGTCTCGGAACGTCCGAGTGCTTAGGTCGCCAGAATCAACATCGTCTTCCTTGGAGGTAAGGAAGCAATTAACCAGGTGCTTTAGAGTCACGCCTTCTTGTTGGGGTTCCATCCCGGCCATGAGGGCGTCTCGCTGAGCCTGGAACTTCTTCAACGCCCCGTCGGGGTCATTCCAAGGACCGAAATATCGAACACGTCCTCGAATCTTCTTTGCCCACGAACCATTAGAGTGGGCATATAATGGGAACCCCTCAAAAGGCTTAACCGGCTTCACGGAACACCTCCGGAAAATTCAAGTGAGCAAACTCACCAAAGAGTTCCAAGGCGGCTTCGTCGTAGGCTAAGGCGGCTTCGAGACCCGTTTCAAATGTGCCTAAGTGCTTTGATTTTCCGCCTCCGGTACCTATGCGAGATGACCAATTCCCAGACTTTGTCAAGTAGACACCCTTGAGATATCCTCGACTTTCTACTCGGTCCTTCATGTTGGCCTTCTGTTGTGATGCGTTGGCATTCCGGAGGTTGCTAATTTGATTGTTCAGTTTGTCGAGGTCCCGATGATCGATCTGACCTTTAGGGAAGGGCAACAAAATGTTCCCTGCTAACTGCCAGACAACTCGGTGCATCATTCCGTGGTTGTCATTTCTGGCGTACCCGCCTACATTGGTGCGGTTGAATCGCCAGCTACCCATCGCTATAAGCTGATCGTAGAATTGGTCATCAACCTTAGCTTCTTTGCCTTGGGTCAGAGGTATGATTTTCATGGCGGCTCTTATTGAAATTCTGAAATAGGCGTCGAAGCGGGCGTCGAAGCCTCTGAGACCTACTTCAATAATAGTTCGTAAATGCTTACAGTCAAACGACTAGGCCAGCGTGGCGCAATTGGCAGCGCACCGTATTCGTAATTCCAGTACAAGGCTGTTTAGGGGCTTTAGGTAAGTTGGGTCATGGCAAGTTAATGCGTTTGCTGGATTGGATTTAGCTTGATTGACTCCATACCTATCCTGGTCTCTGCTAGGCTCTCGTGAGCCTTCGTCGGGCGTCGGACGCCTGCTTCCATACAGGCGATTTAACCCAACCGCTGTGGGGATTTTCTCCAGAGAAAATTTGGGAAATCTAGGCAAGATGGTTGAAGTTGGTGAAATGGCAACATAGGCTTGAGTGTAGCACCCATCAGGCGGCACACCTCTCAAAAAGCCTGCCTCTTTTCTCTCATCCGAACTGGAGCTTCACCATCAAATGTTCCACCGAGAATTTCACCAGCTTCAACGCATGAACGAAGTACAGTTATTCGAGCTTTACCTAGACGCAGGATGCGAGGATGCTTTTGAAGAACTGACTGTCCGATTAACCCGCCCAATCATCAATTTTCTCATCTCCGATTATCGTCTGGATCACGCGACCGCAGAGGACATCCTGCAAGAAACCTGGATCAAAGTGATCCTGAACCAGACTAAGTACCGTCGGGGGACCCGTGTGGAGCCCTGGGTCTACACCATCGCAGCCAACACCGCGCGGGACTATCTCAGGTACCGGGGCTCACGGCCCTGCCTCAGCTATGATGTCATCCATGGGGCGAAAAGATCGCAGCATGATAAGGAGCCCTATCGCAACGTTCTCCCCGACCCTAAAGCTGTCAACCCCGCTGAGCAGGTCGATGACGACGGGAAACTGGAAAACATCATCAACGGAATGAAGGTTAAGGACCGGGACGTTGCAATGCTGGTCCTGGTCGAGGGGCATTCTTATAAACAGGTCAGTACACAACTGAACCTTTCGATTGGTACGATCTCCAGCCGAATGAATCGCATTCGCAAGAAACTCCAGCATCGAGTTTCTTTGGCAGCCGCATAATCGGCATCTGTTTCCCTTAAAGCCGGCATTTGAGCCGGCTTTTTTCATTGGTGAATGGAAGAAAACCGGGCATGACCACGTAGAACATTTAACACCAACATTGAGGGAACACTGATGCTTGTAAAACGTGAATTCTACCGAGTTCAGCTACATGACTGTCGAGACGCCTGTCAATTCGATGAGTTCTTCGACGCCCTGCCCATACCGGCTGAGATCGAAATGGCCATCAAGACCCTTATCAGTGAGTTAGGGGAGAAGGACTACGACAACGAACACGTTTTCGAAGGTCTGGAGAACATCCTGGAAATGGTCCCATTTCTCGAAGGAAAGATCGACCCTAAGGGAACAAGAGCTTCGATTCGGATTGCCGGTGTAACTGTGGGTTACGTGATCACGAGTAAGACGTACCAGTGGGTTGCGACCATCACTCACAACGAGAGTAACGCAAGGTTGGCCGCATGAACAAGAAAACAGCATACACAATCACCTTCCGACCACACGACGAGCCACGTAACGGCTGGGAATTCACCTTCCTCTTCTTGCCGACTCCCGAGCAACTCCAGGACGTCATCTATAAGACGGCGGCCCTCTTACAGGCAGCCAACAAGTCTGAAGATGCTAAGTGCGTCGAAGAGCTTGCAGGAATCGCCAAGGTGATGCAGCCGATCCAACTCACCGAAGGTGGGTGGACGGAAGACGTCTATGTGTGCGGTACCCACGTTGGTGCCATCTACGTCACTGAAACCGAAGCCTGGGAGGAAACAATTGAACAACCATCACGATCTTGAAATCCAAAAGGCCGCGCACGCTCGCAAGCGTCGGATGGAAGCCATCTTCCATGGCCGGTTCGTCCGTGACGAGCACATGCCTCGCACACGCAACTTCAGCTTCTCCCTGCTGGAGAAGGATAAGAAGCGAAAGAAGAAATGAAGACCTACTACACGTCCGATTTGCACTTTGAGTGGGAACGCATCCTGGAGATCACGGACCGTGATCTGCATTTTGGCGGCATACTGGAACACAATGAAGTCCTACTGGACAACATCAACCAAGTGGTGGGTGTGGATGATTGCCTAGTGATTGCAGGCGATACCTGTTCCTACCACTGGTTCGAACAAATTCGCTGCGAGCGAATCTGGCACGTAAACGGGAATCACGACCATGACATCTCCTATCATGTTCCGGACACGCTTGAGCAATTAAGCCACAACTTTGAAGGTCAAGACATCTTCATCTCACACTTTCCACACGCTTACTGGCCGCACAGCGAACAGGGTGCGATTCACCTCTATGGGCATCTGCACGGCTATCGCGAACGGACGCTCGACAAGCTGTTCCCCAGTCGCCGGGCGATGGACATCGGAGTCGATAACGCCCGTCGCCTGCTGGGTGAATACCGGCCGTTCGAACATAGCGAAATCATGGAAATCCTGGGCGACAGAACAGGTCACGATCGTTTGCAGTTCTACATTGATGAACGGGAGATGCAGCGACGATGAACCTGTTCACGCTCAAGCACAAGAACTCCAACTCGTTCATGGTTCGTGGAGCCTCGCCGATCGCGTGTTGGGGTTTCTTCAACCAAGCCAAAATCTTCTTCAGTCGATTCCTGGCCGAGGATGAGATCAATAAGGCTGGCCTTCAGGACTTAGTGGAAGTCACGCCGCTTGTTGTGATCGATCCCAGCCAGATTGTGATCGTCACATGTCAACAATCGCCCTTGACGAATGGTCTCTACTGCAACGGTGAATTGAAACTCACAGACACCTCTATGAGAGTTGTTATTGCCACTTTGGCATCTATCGGAATCCAGCCAAAGAGACAATTCACAAATAGCACTGTCCGATTGCCTGACAGGCTTGGTGATATTGAACACCTGGAGGACATGTAATGAAGCTGATCGTCGAAAAGCTGGATGGAGAAACTCACGTTTACATCCAAAACGAAAATCAATTCAAGAACTCCCGGCACCTGACACCTGTGTTATCGAACGACCTACTCAAAGACGAGTGCTGCATCGACAGTATTGAAAACGGTCGATTCGTCTTCGACCTTCCCACAAAGTTTCAACAGGAAGTGGCGGCTGAATTAGCACAGGCCCGCGAAGACCACGCACCGATGAACAGCGCCCATGAGGGTTGGGCCGTGTTGCTGGAAGAAGTCGAAGAAGTGTGGGAAGAAGTTCGCAAGAAACGGAAGAAGCGATCCAAGAAGAAGTTGCGGGCCGAACTGATTCAAGTCGCCTCGACGGCACAGCGAATGATCGAGGACCTCGGACTGTGACACTCGCAGAACACATCAAGAAACAGAAGAACAACTACAAACGCAAAATGCGGCGTTGGCGTCGTGAGATGGTCGAAGAAGACGGGCGTTGCCACTATTGTGCTGTGCCACTCACATTCGAAACATCAACCCTCGATCACAAACGTCCACTGTTTAGATTCGGCAAGACAACGCGCGACAACATGGTGCTTGCTTGTAGGTCCTGTAACGTTTCAAAAGGTAACAAGCCCTACGGCGTATTCATCAAGAGGCGGCTAAGTGCAGTTGCCTAAACAATTCAGAACCGTGAAGCAGCCTCATGGCTCTGGTGCATGCGGAGCTTGTGTAGCGGCAATGGCCGTCGGACGTGGGCTGCAATATGCAAAGTCTCGCATGCAAGGTGTGAGGCATGGAAGACAAATCGTTTACTCGACTGTCGAAATCTTGAAGTTTCTAAGTGCTCACGGAATCTTCTGTGGTCAGTTCGCCCAAGATACAGATGGGGTAGCTGGCTCCAGTATGGAAGACACCATGATGTTGGAAGTGCCATTAAAGGCGCGCCGGCACTTGTAGCCATTCCCGGCCACTGGATGTTTTGGGACGGCGAATTCATCCGAGACCCCGACCCTAACGAACCAGACACACTGGAATTGAAAGACATTACGTTCACGGAGTGGGTGCCCTTGGTGTACTCGATTGAAGCATGATCCACAGAGTCATCTTCGAGCATTACTTCCTGCTAGATGGTACCCGGGTCGAACCCGATAACGCAGAAATCATATACCAGTCAGGTGGCATGTTCACAGTCTATGGGGAAGTCCCTTTCTATGTGCCAGGACAGTTATTGGTATCGGTTGTAAGTACGCCGTTTACCGAACTGCGACAAGAACTTGTTTTCGACGAGTGTGGGCGGGCCGAAGTAAACCACCATGTTCATGCAACAAAGTTGGTACGCACATGAAAGCCATTGACCTATTTGCCGGTGCGGGTGGATTCACCTGCGGTGCTGAAGCGGCCGGCGTCGAAGTCGTCTGGGCGGCCAATCATTGGCCACTGGCGGTCGAGACCCACGCTGCCAACCACCGAGACGTGGAGCACGTCTGCCAGGACTTGCATCAAGCGGATTGGTCCAAGGTTCCCGAGTGCGACCTGGTACTGGCCTCGCCCTGTTGCCAAGGCCACACACGGGCTCGCGGGAAAGATCGACCGCACCACGACGCCTCACGATCAACTGCCTGGGCCGTGGTGTCGTGTTGCGAGTACCACCGGCCTGAGGCCGTGATCGTGGAGAACGTGCCCGAGTTCCTCCAGTGGAGCTTGTACCCAGCTTGGTCGCAGGCGATGGAAGCCTTGGGCTACACACTGACCACCCACACCTTGGACTCCGCGGACGCTGGCGTCCCTCAGAATCGCGTGCGTCTCTTCATCGTAGCCTCCCGACGGGGTGCTGTTGCCTTTCCGGCACCCCGTCGGCGATGGAAGTCGGCCGAAGAGATCATTGACTTCGAGTCGGGTAAGTGGAGCCCGGTCGAGAAGCCCGGCCGATCCGAAGCCACGCTCGCGCGAGTTGCGGCCGGGCGGAAGTCATTCGGACGTCGGTTCGTCATGCCCTACTACGGTTCGGGTTCCGGACTCACGGGACGTTCGC